GGAGGGGTTGAAATTTTGCGAACGTTGAAACTTTTGGAAAAAAAATTCAAAATTTCGAAACAAGCCCAACTGCAAAGAGCCCTCACTAAATAAAAAGCTTTGATGTTTTAGCTATTCACATGTTTATTTAAATTCAAATTAAATATTATAAAGAAATTTGTCTCCACCTTTTCTATACTATTTTCCATTGCCCCCAAGCTTGATTTTATTAGCTAAAGCTAACAGCCAAGGCTAATACAACCCACGCATTTTATTTTAAAATGACATTTAATAAGGAATTACCCAAAAAATGCCCTATATGCTTTGGGGCCCTATATGCTTGGGGGGAATGCTTTGGGAGTCGATAGCTAATGTTAATTTTATTTGGGTAAAAATTCGAACATATTTCCAAATTTTTAAATAAAAAATTTTTTTCAGAAGGTTATATTCAATTATTTCCAAGTAAACTTCTTTGCCAGAATGTTTTTTAAAACATTCTTCAAGGCATTTATTGCCTTCTGTTTTATTGGATTTGATTCCCTTTTCGTCGAAGGAATGCACCCTCCTCGTGGTAAAATTTCTAGAGTTTTTATAAAAAATTTTCAACTAATTTTATCAAAAATAGGGAGGATGCGAGCTGGAGAAGGCCAAGCCCCTGTCAATCTGAACACGTTTTCTCTCACTGAGTTGTCCTTTCTGATTAAAATTTTGAACAAAATTGATTATAATCGAATTTTTGAGGTTAATTATTTAAATGATATGCAAGTCGCACTCGTTCAAAGAGGCGGTGAAGTTCTAGATGAAATTGGATTGCCTGCAAATGATCCAACCATTGCTAATTTTCAACGTAAAATAGGAGAGGTATGTATATTAAAGCTACATATTTTAATAAGTCGGACCTCTGTTTTACATCACCCCTCGTCAAGAAAAAATCTCAAGTTAAAGCAGGGTTAGGATATTTTGGTTTTTTGATAGGTCGATGAGGATTATTTTTAAAAATGCGGATTTGCGGATTTTTGTGGTCATAGGAAGGTTATTTTCGGCAGGCCGAAACTTGCGGACCGACTTTTGCGGACCGAAACTTACGGACCCGACGAATTTCTCAAAACATAGCTCATTCGAAAGAGCTCGACGAGCTGAGTCGAATGACATCAAAATCACAACTCTAATTATAACAATTGTGGTTAAGCAATTTAAAAAGACTAGTAAAAGAATTAAATAAATTTTTATATCCGCAAATGTTGTGCGCTCAAAATTGCGGATTTAAAAATTCGAGATCAAAACCCTGCGTTAAAATGGAATAACTTATTAGAGATCGGTCTGGATCTGGATCCAGTCTGGATTTTTCCTGGATCCAGATCCAGGCATTTTTGATCGTCCTTGATTTTTTCTGGATCCAGATCAGTATACTGTCCAGGTACTAACCTAAATCCAGATCCAGGATCTTTGAAAATACTTATCTTTCAATCCCCTTTCATATGGGCATTCCAAATGGAGGGGGTCGAAAATGCAAACTGTTTATTTGATTAAGCTATATATTTAATTAAGCTATACGACCAGCTGCGACCAAGTGCTTCATAAAACGACATTTTTGGGGGAGTTTTGAGAGGACTTTTTGACATCTATTCTCTGAAAATTTTTTATAGACTAAATGTTTTCTAAACCAAAAATAGTGCTAAATATGATTGTGAACGAATTTTGTTTTAATAATCAATGTTTAGACCCAATAGTTGAAATTTTAAAAATTCCGGGAACTTTTTACGCACCCTGTACACTAATTTTGGTGTAAAATAGGGTAGCACCCAAGCCTTCGGGGTCGGGGTGTGTCGGGGATCAGGGACGGGGTGCTAACCTAGTGTAAAATGTTATCGTACTATATACATACAATAATTTCTATTAAAAATGACTGATTTAAACGTCTAAAGGTGATAGATCATTTTACGCGAATTCTTAACAATTATGAAAGAAGATTACGACAAAATTACTACCAACTTCCGCAACAAAATTACCAACGGGAGATTTTTATTAACAAAAGAATCGAGGATTATAGAAAAATTGTCGACGATTTTAATCAATTTATTGGAAATTATGGCTTAGATATAGATGATTTTGACGAAGGACGAGATATGAACATTATTCCTTCTTCTTTATGGGATATTCGGTAAAATTTATATTTAGTGTTACGGTGTCTATTTTTCTAAGCAAGCAAATACCGCATTTCGTAATTCGCCTGGGGAATTATTTTTTCAACCCATCCGTAGCATGGGGAATTATTCAAGGGAGGGGAATTAATCGAGTAAATAAATTAAAATTTATTAATTAATAAATTAAAATTAATTTATTAATTTATAGTCAGAGCGAAGAATTTGGACAACTTGAAGACTTATTAGTTCTAATTTTACAGAAAGAGAGGAATTTATATCTTTATTACAAATTGATTGTTTTGGCTAGAAGATTGATTTTGTCATTTATCCAAGATACTTCAAATGCATACATTACTCGTTTTAATGATTTGCCCATTCTTCAAGATGAGGACAATAATTCTTATAGGTAATGTTTTGAATGAAGTTTTAGTCTCATAAACAATATTGAAGTAGAATAAGGTTGGCGTATCCGGGTTCCGAAGATTTACAACTATCAGCTAACACTAGACCCTTGTGTTAATCAGTTTCACCATCGCTTTCTATACTCCGATTCTAAAATAAGTTTTGTCACACACCTACCGTATTTACTGTATTAGAGCCCCATGGGGCTCTAATTTTCAACTATTCCGAAAAGGGGGGTTTAAGAGAGGGGGGCTAATTGAGAGGGGGAGGTTAATTAGAGGGGGGGCTAATTAAGAGGGGGCTAATTGAGAGGGGGAGGTTAATTAAAGGGGGGCTAATTGAGAGGGGGGAGGTTAATTAAAGGGGGGCTAATTGAGAGGGGGGAGGTTAATTAGAGGGGGGGCTAATTGAGAGGGGGGAGTTTAATTAGAGGGGGGCTAATTGAGAGGGGGAAGGTTAATTCGAGGGGGGCTAATTAAGAGGGGGGCTCTAATACAGACGGGGGGCTCTAATACAGACGGGGGGCTCTATTTTTCAAACATCCTCGAAACGGGGGCTTTATTAAGGAGGGGGCTCTAATTCGGATGGGGGCTATAATACAGGGAATACAGTAATTTATTCTAATCAAATTCTAGCTTACAAATATCAATTTTTCAATATGTAGCTACTTTCGATTATTATGAATTGTCTGCAAACAATTTGCATGATATGTTGAGAAATCAGGCTTTTAGGACTTTACATGGTGATTTAAAAAAGCTGTAGTTTTTGAATTTTCTTTTTAAGGCACCAACAGTTTGTTCAGAAATCTTCGAATTGACGAGTTAGACTTGGCGACACATGGACGACATCCTGTTTATTGTCAATACGACCCAATTGTGTCTTCTGAATACGTGCCGATGATACACACATACAGAAGTAATTCCCTAAGTTAAACAGTTTCTAATAGTTTTGATCTTTTTGGCTTCTGGTTTTCACTTTTTAATTTGTTGACTAAGCTAGGGAAGTAAAGCTTGCATGCCTTGATTTTCTAACTGCCTTTATCGTTGGCTAAAATTGTCTGTTTTAACTTTTTCTGACAAAATGCCCCTATTTTGCCTTTTTCAGCCTATTTTGCATACATACACTGCTCCACATAATTATAAGTCCACCCCTTTTTTCGGGATTTTTTTGACTTCCAGTGATCCAAATTTTCTGAAAATTTAGAAACACACCTTTTAGTGAATAACTAACAAGATGTGAATCGATTTTTGGCAGATTTTTTAATTAAAAAATTTTTAGACCAAAATTTGCATTTTCGGCCTCCACAAAATTATAAGTCCACTTTTCAAAAAAGATATTTCCAAGTTTAGGAAAAATCTACAAAAATTCTAGCAAAGATACATAACAATATTACGAAAAAATAAAAAAGAACTAGACCCATATCTTTTCCTGGAACCGAGATCATGAGACCTCAAAAATCAACGTAAAACGGGGGTAAGACTCTTTAAAAAAATTTTTCGACCCCTTATCGATTATTTTCAATTTTGATTTTGGGCTCATTCGAAAGCCCTTGAAATTTGCTACAAGATAGCAAAAGTCTTATTTCTCAGAAAAATTCCATAGAGAGACACAAGACGATAAACTTTCTAAGTGTCATTAGAGGGCATTTTATGGGGCAATTAGACGATTTTTGCTGCATCAAAAAATTACGACCCGTACATATCTTTCTAATCGAATTTTCTATAAATATTTTCGTAATATTATTATGTATCTTTGCTAGAATTTTTGTAGATTTTTCCTAAACTTGGAAATATCTTTTTTGAAAAGTGGACTTATAATTTTGTGGAGGCCGAAAATGCAAATTTTGGTCTAAAAATTTTTTAATTAAAAAATCTGCCAAAAATCGATTCACATCTTGTTAGTTATTCACTAAAAGGTGTGTTTCTAAATTTTCAGAAAATTTGGATCACTGGAAGTCAAAAAAATCCCGAAAAAAGTGGTGGACTTATAATTATGTGGAGCAGTGTATGTATTTTTACTAAAATTTGCGCATTTTTTGAGAAATTTGCTTTTTTAGTGCTAGGCGCCTATTTTTAACTTTATCGTGCCTAAAAATCCTGACTCTACTTATAATGGAACTTATGCAGTTTGGGTACACACCCCATTTGTTCGCAAGCTAAAAATGGTCGAAGTAACCATATTGAGGTCGGAAAAACGTTTGGGCATAATTCCTCGGATCGTGCAGCATTAACCAGCACGCGTCTCGCAAGAGTCGAGAGCTGCTTTGTTTAGTACGCTGTAATATAGGCTTCTTGCTAGTTCGCGAATAAACGGGTTGGTTAGTCAAGTTGCCTAATAAATGAGGGTTATCTCGCGAATAAATGGGTTGTGTATTCAAACTGCATAAGTTCCCTTATAATAATACATATAAATAAAGGTTCAAAGGGGAATAAGAGAAGTTTAACGGTTTTTAATCTTTAATAAAATTTAAGTATACGATATTTCATCGGAAATAACTACGGAGGAATTTGGGGCGTTTGCACCATTTCGTATTCAAGGACAGGGCAGACCAAATAATACCTACAATCTATACCGCCTCTACTATTCTGAATATGTCCAACAACGCCCATATCTTCAAGCAAAACTTCAACTACATTATATAACTCAACCATTGATTGTCCAAATGCATCCTCAAGCTTTAGTTTATAACCACGAATTAATGGAAACAGAGCAAATCCGTGAAGGCGTGACAATTCAACCTCAAATCCGAGAGGTGTGTTTTTATTTACGAGTCCGGTTATAGTCACTGCAGAATATAAGGTCCTTTAAGATATAACGGGTGTATTCCAGGGCTGGGCTAATTTAGCGTTTCGCATGTTTAGCATATTTCACATTTTTCAGCGCGGAAAGTTTTGCATTCCGCATTTCGCTTTTTATTTTTAGATTTCGCCCAGACCTGGTGTATTCCTCCAAAATATTTTTACAAATTTATGCTTTCCTTCGAATATTTTTACTTCAAAAAATTCCTTCAAAAAGACTTGACAGTGTAATTTTATAATGTTCTTAATATTAATTAGTTTTATATCCAATACCCTCCACTTGGAACATCTGGAAGCGTTGGTGAAAGTAGCCAACAAGCCGGTGGAAGACGTCGCCATCGTAACGGAGGAAATGGCAATGGAGGGAATGGCAATGGAGGGAATGGTCAACGCGGTGGTGGACGTCGCCGTATTAATGGAGGGAGAGGAGGAAATGGAAATGGCGGAAATTGAGGAGGATCGAATTGAGCTTGAAAGTATTGAAGAGAAAAGATCCTTTTACAAGATTAAATATAGTTGAGAAAATCGCTTTTATTGAATACTATCCTCATTCACAAATCCTCTATTAGAATACCACATCTTAGCAGACAAATAATTTTACAAAAACTTAAAATTCCGACGGAAGTTTGTTTGTCCGTTTACTTGCAAAAGTGATATAAAAACGTATAAGAATAACCCCAATCATCGGGTTGTGATTATAGTTTGTCTAATTCCTTTTGGCTAGTCTGGCTTCTTTCGACGATGGTTCTATATTTCCATCTTGTATGAAAAACCTCTATATATAGCCCAAAGATGCACTTCAGTCAGAGGTGAATCGTAATTCCTAGGCTGATTTCCGACAGTTCCGGCACTTGTCATTTCCAGTTCACCTCTGATTTTAATTTCCGATACGTTTTCTTATTTTTTCTTATTTATTCCTTCTATCTATTCTATTTTTCTACTCCAAGTGTGTATCTAATAGAAGGTCCGGCTTCAAAACATTTAGTAAAATTGTGTGGTAATATAATAGAGGATTTAGGGTATATAAATTTGTTTCTTTTTTTTCGGGTAGATAAAAGTAAAGCATATTTTGCGGTAAAGAAAATTTAATTCAAAAAATTTAAACAAAAAAAATAAAAAATGATCCAACGTCCATTTTTCCGTGCCGGGCTAACTCAAGGAACAGACAAGTCAATGTGAACAGACAAAACAAGGAACGACAAATCACGGAATATTTTAAATTTTTTTCCTTGAGTTGTCCGTCCCCGAGTTGTCGTTCCTCGAGTTGTCCGTTCTTTGAGTTGTCGTTTCTTGAATTGTCGTTTCTTGAGTTGTCTGTTCCTTGAGTTAGCCCTCACATCATTTTTCAGAAAAAATTCTCTCCTTCCGTTCATTCTCAACTAATTTGTAAAACTTCCAATCCCAACTTTTTCCCTTCTTCAGCACTTATAGTCGTTCCAGGAACTGTTGTTGTACTTAATTTGGGACTTTGTATTTCTGTTTTAGTCCATTCCCTAGGCTCAACTTCAATTACATAATTGAAAAATGTTGTTCCAATGAAAATACAAGCTGTGACGAGGAGGAAAACATCTGCCCACTAAAAAAAAATTTTTTTTAATCCTTTAAAAATAAAATTTATTTCTACCTCTTCAACAGCATTTGTCGGTGTCAAAAAATTAATAATCATTGGGAGAATTCTTAAATTTTGAAAAATAAAATTAATTTTTTATTAAATTCAAAACTAGGGGTGGACACAAACGGTTAACCGAACCGAAAACCGTTGGTCAAAAACCGGCGATAAACGAAAATCAGTGGCCTAAACCGACTGGTTTCGGTTTAAAAAATACACCCTTAAAGATGGAATTTTTTGAAAATTTTTCGGAATTCCCAGAATACTTCTTTAAGGCATTTTAATGGGATGAATTGGATATTCCAGATGATAAATTTAACCATAAACCGTTCAATCGAAAACTGAAAACTGGGGATCGTAAACCGGCCAAAACCGAAAACCGAGAGCCAGTTAATAACCAGTTGTGTCCAACCCAATCCAAAACTCACAACATAATAACGCTAAGTTGGATGGTTGTCCAAGAAAATATAACGTGAGAAAATTGACTTGACATCTTTTTTTTAAATTAATGTTTTTAACAAATAGATTTTTTAGTAATGTATTTTCTTGATTAATTCCCATGGGACTTAATATTTCAACGAGGGAATGGGGAATTGTTCGAGGGAGAATAATTGAAAGGCAGAGACCAAGGTAGCGCCCTGTCACTTGAAACCCCAGCTATTTTCTTGGCAAAAACGCCAGCCCCGAAGACTCCACCTTGGCAAACCCTAATCCCCGACGATACCGTCTCCGAAGGCTCAGGGTGCTACTCTAATTAATAGAGCTGTCCAAGACCAAAAACTTCCCAAGACTCAAGACCAAGACCGAAAAAACAAGAAAAGTCTTGGAATCAAGACCAAGAGACTTGGACAGCTACCCTATTTAAAACGCTTACTAAGCGGGGGTTTAAGATCTATTTAAAAGAGCAGATGAAAGCAACGTCCCGGTAGCTCAGTCGGTAGAGCAACAACTTTACGTGTGAGCGAAAGCACCTAGCAATAACTGCCAGAAGGTCGCAGGATCCAAGCCTGGCCGGGATATTAAATTTTTCCCTCGCTCCTAATTAATCGAGAAAATACAGTATATAATTCCAATTTCACAACTTACTAGCTGTGCACCCTTAATCAATCCAACAGTATTTAAACCACTAAAAACAGTTGCCGCAGTGTAAATACATTGCATTAAAGTAACATTAACAATTCCAAATTTAGGAAATAAAGACATTGCCAAAAAGCAGGCACCCATTAAATACTTTAAAGAAAATTTAAGGAATAAACACCTCTCCTTTTAAAATACCTGAGAGATGCTAGCAAAAAATATAACTTTAGCTTTTTCAGAAACAGAAGTCAAACGATCACTAATTTGGCCAGCAAAGTTTTTCCCAATTAAAGACAATAAAAAAGGTAAAGCAGAAGCTATGCCAGTTTTGGCTACTTCCATACCTAATGCCTTTAAAATTTAATTTTTTTAATATTTATTCATTTTTAGGCACTCCTACAGTATACGGCAGGGTTAGACAAAACCAGTTAACACCCGTTAATTTTTCCATGTGGCGGGTCTTTTTTCTTTTTCCTTTCTCTATTCTTTTTGCCCCGCCACAGGGAAAAATTAACCGGGCGGTTAACTGGTTTTGTCCAACCCTAGTATAAGGAACCGCAGTTCTCTGACCATTATTATTGGCACCAAACTTCAGTTGATCCACGCTATATTTATGAAAATAATCGTAGTATGGAGTAGTGATGCTCGGGTATCCCGACTCCCGACTCGGGAAAATTTCCCGAGTTTTTGGCCTCCCGATCCCGACTCCCGGTGTCAATTCCCGACTAAGTCGGGAAATTTTTACACCCTTAAGAATGGCTTTTTCAGGCAAAATTATATTTTTATTTATAAAAAATGAAGAAATCTGGCCTCTTGGTCTTCCAAAATTCTCAAAATTTTCGCCTGCGGCGCTGAAAAGGGAAGATTTTTGGCTTTAGGATCTTCCAAAATCCTCAAAATTTTCGCCTGCGGCGCTGAAAAGGGAAGATTTTTGGCTTTAGGATCTTCCAAAATCCTCAAAATTTTCGCCTGCGGCGCTGAAAATGGAAAAAGCTGTGGAGTTCTAGTATAGAAGATTTCTGCGATTTACTAGGATTATGGTGAATCTGAAGAGATGAGGGATTTGCAGTAATAAAGAGAGATAAAAATGAGTGATATCAATGGATTTGAGTGATTAATGTTGCATAGGGGGTGTTAATACTATAAAGGGGATATGAAGAGATATGTGGCTAAATCACTAAAATTCCAACAAAATTGAACTTAAAAATATTTTTCTCTGTGTCACTCTTTTTTCTCTAATTCACACGAATGTAGTCAAATTTTCAGTGCCACTCTTAAAAATTTTAAAAATATAACCTTCTGTTCTGGACACGGGTGTCCAAAATTTTCGGTTCGGATATCGGATTTGAATATCCGAGGATTACCGACTATCCGACATTTTATCGGAGATCTTCTGGGACGATGATGATGATTAATCTTTTTTTCTCGTGATAAAGATTTAAATTTAGTATTATTTTTCAACTCCAATGTTCTCTAAATTTTTGCCTGCAGCGCAAAAAATGGAAGAAATCTGACTTCTTGACCTAAAAGTTCTCAAAATTTTCGCCTGCGGCGCTAGTAAGAAAATGCCTGGCTTCTTTACCTTCCAAAATTTTCAATATTTTCACCTACAGTGAAAAAAAATCGGAATTTTTGGCGCCGAAGGCGGCAAAAATTTTTTATTGCTGTTTCCCGACTCCCGATCCCGACTCCCGAGGTCATTTCCCGACCCGACTCCCGTTTCCCGATTCCCGGGTTTTTTCTTCTCCCGAGCATCACTAGTATGGAGTAGGATTTTATCCCAAACGCTCGGGGGCGGGTATGTCGAGGTACGCGGTTTTAGAATTTTCGAGGCGGGGAGAAAATATGGTCTGGGTACGGGGTCGAGGTGCAACTCTAGTATGAAGTCAAAAAGGAGTAGTCTTAATCCATGGAAAAACCAACATTTGAGCTCATAATGGTCAGAGAACTACGGCCCCCTTTAAACGGCAGGAGCGCCCATTTTTAACTTTACTTTATTCAAATAAATCGGTCCAAATTGCCAAAATACTTGAAATGCCAAATTACTTGTAGCACTACACAAATAAACGCCCCAAAAGGCTGAATCTTTAAGAATTGCCATATAAAGGGTTTTTTGTTTAAGCTCCTTTCCCTTCCTTCTACGCCCAACAGAAATATCTTTTAAAGACTTTCCCTCTTCTATAATTGACAATTCTTGAGCAGAAAGGAATCTTTAAACAAAAAAAATTTTTTGAAATAATTTTTTTTTCAATTTTTTACTCGTGTTCTCTAGGGGAATCTCTATAAATCCAATAAAAAATTGTAAAAAGGAACAGAGAAATTGTTCCCAATAAGTAATAAACTGCTGGCCATCCAAACATTTCTGACGAGCAGAATTCGGCAGACAAAGGCATTGCGGTTATTGGGCCAAGTTGAAAACTGGAGGTTAAAACAGCGAGGAAAATGCCAGAATTTGATAATGGGGACCAATGTGCGCTAATTGATCCTAAAAATAATTTTTAAAATTTAAAGTAGAGTAGGTCGAGGTTTTTAAAACCGAGGCTGAGGATCGCCGATGGTGGAAAAGCCGAGCTAAAGGGGATAATTTTGGGTGAGGTCCAAGGTCGAGGATACCCCAAATCTGGATAAATCCTCTGGAATCCTCCTAATCCTGATAGCCTCCTAATTCACATAAATCCTCTGGTGTACTTTGAATCATTATATCCCTCAATAAGGGGATGTCAATGGGCCAGGGGTCACCGAACTTCCTGACATCCCCTCTTGAGGCGATCTTGTACTGACACTTTGCCTCATACCGAAAATTTCAAAATTTCTCCGGTAAAGTACAGGGAGTACAGGGGTACTTATTTAGTCCCCCCCCCCCCACAGTCAATTTTTTTGGAAAATTCTGAACAACAATTGTAGAACCCATCGAGCTGTGTCGAATGACACCAAAATCGACAAAATCCGACTTGATTGGACCGAAATACAGACCCCACAGGGGCGAAAAACCCCGGTAGTTAATTTGAAAAATTTTAAGTCTCAAATAAAATTTCAACAAAACCCTACCAGTAGCTACCCAAATTGCTGCCAATCCAAATCCTTGGCAAATTCGCAAAATCAAAAGTGTAGGAAATCCCCCCAAGTAAATACTTGGTACAATTAAAAGTGTCGATAATGAACTGATAAATCCATAAGTAGCCAGTAATTTTCTTCAAAAAAATTTTTAAATTATTAATTGTATGGATCAAATCTGATTTTGTTAGAGTTTTCAAGTCTAATTTTATGGATCAAGCCTGATCGACAACTGAAATGGTATGAGTCGATAAGTGCAAGAAATCATTGTTTTTCACACTTGTCGACGTGTAACGTTTAAGTGGGCGATCAGGCTTGATCCTTCCAATTAGAAAAAAGATAGCGCTTATCGAGGGCTTCCGAATGACATAATATTTATTCGGATTGGATCAAGCATAAAAAAGTTATAGCCGATCAAATTAGGAAAAAGAAGAAAAGGAAAATGAGCGGATATAACACGAGTACCAGTGCTGTGCGTCATGGCGTCCATTTTTGGCCGATTCTTGGCGGTTGGCGTGTTTTTAAAATTTAAAAAATTGACGTTTGGCGCGCCTCGCGAAAATTTTTGGCGCACAGCCCTGATGAGTACCAAATATTTTTTTATTTCTATTTACCTCAAACCAAATCGAGTATAAATTTTAGTAATTGGTAAAGTGCCAATTAATTGTCCAATAGCTATAGCTGAGAAAAGCAAACTTTGCTCGTTTGAAGTAAATAAAGGTTCAAGAAATTGATCGTTTATTTTTTCTGTTGAATTTTGTAACAACTTTGAAGGGAAAATAATTAAATTTGTTACTACTAATTTACTCTCAATATTATAAGTAAATATGTATTCTCCCAAAATTTAGATATACCGCTCTTAAATAACCTCACTAGGGTTGGAGTTTTCGAGTCAGCCGACGTTCGAGTCATTCCTTTTGGGCCTCATTTTTTCGGGCTGGTCCGACCGAGTCTTTTTCGGGCCAAAATTCGAGGCCCGACTCGATCTTTCAAACCGGGCCGGATCGGGCCCCCAACCCTAATCCTCACAGTATGTACTCCTGCCGTTTAAGGAGGCCGCCTTTCTCTGACGATTATGAGACTACAACTCTGGCACTAAATTTCAATTGACCCACATTTTATTTGTGAAAAATAAATGTTAATTAAGGAGTAAACAAGGTCTCATAATGGTCAGAGAACTGTGGCCCCTTAAACGATAGGAGTGCCACCCTTACTTTATACCTACAAAAACTGCCCATTATTTTAGGATTGTCTGACTAATTCATTAAAACTATGAAACACAATTTAATCCTTAAAGCTTATTTTCAGTCAGTTCTTCTACTGAAAGAGAAACATTTTCCCCCTTTAAAAGCTCTAAATTTTAAAATATTAAAAAATTCACCGTTAGTCCCTCATTATTCACCATTGGCACTTCTTTATACATACAAATAACTGTAAAATTAAGTGCCAAAGGATTGGCAATTAATATTGACAAACAAAACAAAGAAATTGCCAAAATAACAAATCGAATGGGGATTAATTCGTTTAATTTTCTATGCTGTCGTTTTTTGCCAGAATTTTGTATTGTTTGTTGTTGGGTAACAATATCAATAACAAAATTGTGTGGGGGAAAGGAAAATTGTTGTTGTTTTTGCTCTTTTGTTTTGTAAGACAAAAGAGGAGAAGGGGATGTGTTGTTCATTTCTTGAATAACTGGAGGGGTAAAGCTGTGAATTGTCATTTTCTGTAAATAGTTGTTGCAATTTTTGAATATTCGCTTCCGGATCTAAAAATTCAGAATTTTTTGGATTTTGATCCGGAAAATCCGTCCCGGATAAAAAATTTCAAAATCCCGATATGGGATCCGGTAATTTTCAAATTTCGAACTCTAATGGATTGAAATCAGGGATATGGAGAGATTTAAAGGCCCCAAGGCTCATTTTGAAAGCTGGCTATCCATTGGATGTGGAGCTGCCCAAACAAATACCCTCTATTTGAAATACCCTTCATTATAAGGTATGAGCTTTGTGAACCCAATAAGTACCCAGCAAAGGTTGCATTTAGAAGAATCGGAGTGAGAAGAGTCAACACAAGCCTTTTTAAGAGGAATGAACCCAGTTTTTTTAAGTTTTGGAAGAAATGAAGGAGAACATTCTAGGTCAAAAATATATAAATAATCAGATAAATGGGCGGAGGACAAGTACATTAAATATTTTTAGGTACATAATGAGTGCAACTCTGAGAAGGTTGAGTACAAAAATGGGTAGAGGGGAGGAGGGACAGAATAATGTGTAGAAATAGGGAGGAAAGGGAGCAGGCCAACCTACCGCGAGGCCAACCTACCGCCGAGCTATAACTACGTTTAGAATTGTCGAATCCGGGACGCCCTGGTATGGTTCGATTCAGCTCGTCGAGGCGCATCGAACCATACCAGGGTGTCCCGGATTCGACAATTCTGATCGAAGTTACAGCTCGGCGGTAGGTTGGCCTCGCGGTAGGTTGGGATGTACATATGGGGAAGAACTGGATTTTAAACGAAATAATTCAACTGCACCCACGCCAATAATTTAATCAAAAATTCGTCTAGAAAGACGAGAAAGACAAAAAAAATTAAAAAATATCAAAGAAAGTTTGCTTAAAAACAAGGTTTTGGCATTGGAATTCGTTGACGTCGATAAGGTTGGATGGTCATTTTCTTCTCCCTTTTTATGGGTCAAGCAGAGAAAAAAATTATTTTTTTTTGCATGATGCAAAAATGGAAGAAGGCAAAATTTTTGTTTGTTGATGGACAGAAGCAATAAACATACCCAACACAAAACCCTTCTTATCTCCATTAAAATGACCTTCCTCGTGTTGTATACATGCACTCAGAAAATGAGGAGTATTACTATTAATTTAGTATAGTCAAAGTACATTTATTAAACTAGAGAAAGAATTAAATTTGAAAAAAAATAAAGTAGATTTGAATTTAAATTTTGATAGTAATCCCCCTATTTCTACACATTTTCTTTCCTTAACGGTTGTAAGTACACCAATTGTGAGGTCCAGGGTTTATCCGAGATTTGTCTCAAATTTGACAAGCACAACAATTCACTAAAGTTTATCCAAAATGGAAAGTACAATCTAGGGGAATGCGGATTTAGGACTAGATCAGACGAAGGAGGTCGGTGACTAGACGGGCTAGTTATGTATTTAATAGTTTAAATCAGGGCTCTCATTCGTGCTTTATTTGAAAGTATTATACTTTGAAACCGACCTCCATACTTAAGAAATTGAATTTATACTTTATTGAAAGTATATACTTTGAAATCAACATTTTTGATTGAGAATGAAATTGGGGAAGGGATTGGGCAAAAAGTAAATTTTTTTAGCCTTGGGCCTTCGAAATTATCAAAATTTTCGCCTGCGGCGCTGAAAAAGAAAGAAATCTGGCTTCTTGAACTCCAAAATGTGAAATTTGGGCACGATATTTAAGGATCAAGAGTGTTTGTGGAGTTATATGCGGAAGTTATCATGGATGGACTCACCCCTAAAGACGGCTTTTTTAGACCTTTTATTTTTAAAAAACACTCTCCTACTTCGAAATAAAATTATTTTAAGGAAAAGGAAAAGAGTTATTTATAATTTCACCATTCATTATGTAGGTCGGTGGTTGAGTGGTTAGGTTGACTGAATTTGCTTACCTAGAAATTTCGTATGGTGGGTTCGAATCCAGGTTATCAAAATTATCGCTGCGGCGCTGAAAATGGATGAAAGTAATTTGCTTGCGGTTAAGACTGTCAGGGCTTTATTTCTTGTATCAGCGAATTTTGACATGCATGCGTTGAAATGCACAAAATGCTCAGTGGAAGCAAGAAATTATTAGAAAAGATTAATTTAGGAGAGAAATATAAAAGATTTGAGCACGAATAAATATTTTCCAATTTAATTTGGAGTATACTTTAAATTTGGAAATTTTCTCCCTATATACTTTTTTATCAAGATTTTGATACTTTTGAGTGGCATTTTGTCGATGAGAGCCCTGGTTTAAATTACTGGACAATTGCTAAACAGGAGCCAGAACTTCCTTCGGATCAGGAATCCGGGGTCTTCATGATTGATCTTTGGATCATTTCCTGGCAATATTTTGCGTACCGGATCCTGTCAGGTTCTTTCACCGACCCAGTAACCTAATCCGAATCAGGAAATGTCGATTTTACCTTTAATATTTTAAATTAGGGTAGCACGTCTAGCCTTCGGGGTGGAGTGTCGGGTTTGGGTTTTGCCGGGGTAGAACCTTCAGGGTTCGTGTCGGGTTTTTGCCAGAAAAAAATTCATTGGGGGTCGTGTCGGAGTTTTCGCTAAAAATTTTTTCGGGGGACGGGGTGCTACCCTATTTTAAATATTTTCCTATTAAGAATGTAACTTTCACCTACATATTTTTTGACAAATTAAAATTTTATTAAAATTTTAAAATAAAACACTTTTTAATAATTTATTTTTTTATTAATTTAATAATCTCAGCTTCTCAATACCCTCCACTTTTTGGTTGGTGAATATCTCCAGTATCTAATTCAGCAATTGAAGGTGCAATAATATTTTGAATTCCACATGAGGATGGGCAATGACCTCCAGATTCTCCAGCATCACCTGGCGCTCCTATTGGCCCTGGAGGTCCAGGCTCTCCTCTTTTTCCTTTTTAAATAACTCTAAAGGGTATCTAAATTAATGTTTTTACCTGGTGGACCAGGCGGTCCTGGCTATAAATTAAAAACAATTTTTTTAAGGATATCATTTTACTCAAATACCTCTCCAACGGGTCCTGGAGGTCCGGCATTTTGTGAAGGCGTGCCATTGGGTCCAGGTGGTCCTTTCGGTCCACGCGGGCCGGGAGGACCTGGCGGCCCTTTGATTCCGGTTCCGCCGATACTGTCATCTCCAGGAGGACCTTTCATGCCGGGCTCTCCTGTTTCTCCTCTCACACCAGGCAATCCGGCATCACCAACACGACCAGGCTTCCCTGGCCTTCCCGGAAGGCCTTAAAATTTGGAGGAATATTGATTCTCAATTTACTCGAATACCTGCATGTCCGGGTTCTCCTGGTGGCCCAGGTCGTCCTGCTTCGCCTTGAGGTCCTCTGTTGCCTGGAGGTCCAGCTGGGCATATCACGCTATGAGATGATAAAAATTTAAATTAAATCTTAATTTTTCAATATGGAGAATAAGATCACCACGGTTACTTAATTTTTGTTTGTGGTGATCTTCTGGATTATAAACCATGGAAAGCTGGGTTCTGGTTCAAGAGGTACATCCAGTCCATCGAGTCCTTCAAAGTAAATTAAAAAAAATGATGGTTGATAATCAAAACCAGGCTTTCCCGGCCGTCCAGGCTGTCCATCCACCCCATCCTCTCCATTAACTCCAGGCGGACCTGGAGGCCCAGGAGGGCATTGTAATTGAACACAGCTTGTGCATTGCTCTTCTGCCCCGTAATCACCACCAGATTGGCGACGAACACGGCTTCCCGATTCTTCAAATAATAATTCTTTCCAAATATTTCTCGAGGCGAACTAGAACGATTTTTAGAAGGATTTTAAAGGGGAAAACATTTTTCTACTTTAAAAGCATCCATTCGACGTTCAATATCCGTAGAGGCAGTTTCTAGCCGATAATGAAGCAAAGGAAGCAATAGAGCCATTACACCAAGACAAAAAAGGCTAATACCCACAGATCCGTAGGCAATCTTAATTGAAGGCTCAGGAGATATTAAAGGAAAATTTTTCTTATTTTGATTGTTAATTTGTTGAGGAGAAAATAAATTTGGAATCATTTTAATTTTAATTAAAAAATAATATTTAAAATTGTGGAATTTTCTTAATGATTGTTTAAAATTGTTTGAAATGACCTAAATTAGTGGATGACTGGATTTATTTACGTGTGATTTGACCTAAATATTTTAAAGGGTAATTAAGTATATCGTTAACACTGTGGATAGAAAGAAAATAAAATAAAATTTAATCTGATCAAAAAGACAAATTTTGACTCGTCAGCAACTAGTATATTTGCGGACTACTAACACTGGAACTAGGGTTGCTCACTGCCGGTTATTAACCGGTACCCCCGGTTTTCGGTTATCGCCGGTTTTCGACCCCCGGTTTTCGGTTCCGGTTTTTGATTTACCCCCGGTTTTTGGTTAACCGGGACCGGTTTTTGGACAAATTTTCATCCAGAATATCCCATTAAAATGTTGTCACATTCTAACGCTTTTAAATAGATATTCTATACACTAGGAGCTGAATAATCTACAAATTTAAACAATTCGAGGAATTAAAGGGTATATGGCGAGATAAAGTTGGCTGATTTTGGATATTAGGAGCAGTGCTGGGTATTTGCCATTTGTTGGCTCCGGGCTTATAAAATCTTGGCTCCGGCTCCAGCTCCGGAGCCGGCAATTTTCGGAGCCGCTCCATGTTAGCTCAGGGCTCCGGGTGGAAAATCAATGAATTATTTTTCATTGGGGTGATTTTGTTAGATAAGGTGAGTGGATTAAGGACGATATCGGGTAATTAAGCTTGACTAAGGGGAATTTGGGTGAATAAGAGCTGGTAATCCATCACTCTCTCATTATCACTCGCTTTTTACGCCGCAGGCGAAAATTTTGAAAATTTTCGAAGATACTTATGCTCTAAAATCTTCCTTTTTTCGCCGCCGGCGTAAGTTTGAGAATTTTGGAAGATCCTTAAGCCAAAAATCTTCTTTTTTTTGCGCCGCAGGCGAAAATTTGAGAATTTTGGAAAATACTTAAGCCAGATTTTTTCATTTTTTGCGCCGTAGGAAAAAAATGAACCGACGGCCCGAATCGAAGAAGACAATCATGTTTAAAAGGACCTTTATCGAGTAAAGTTCATAAACTAAATCACTTAACCACACATCTCAAGTAATAAAACTGAAAGAAATTATATTTATCGAAAAAGAAAAGTAAGGAAATAATTTGGCTAACTATATTTTGGGAGCTATAATGTCCTAAAAATCACAAAAAATTCCATCTTTAGGGGTGTATCTTTAAAACCGAAACCGGGCGGTTTTGGTCACCGGTTTTCGGTTATCGCCGGTTTTCGACCCCCGGTTTTCGGTTCCGGTTAATTTGCCAAAAACACCGGTTAACGGTTCCGGTTCCGGTTCGGTTAACCGTCCGTGAGCAACCCTAACTGGAACTAACGTTTTTTGACAGGCTTCTCCCATTCTATACCCAAAAAATTAATATTAATTTTTAAATTTAAATTTAGGAAAAAAAATTTGAAATTTATTCCACGTATTTGCAGAGATATTTTCTGTTTTGAGAGAATGTAAAAATTCACCGAGCAGTATTTAAAACGCTTGGGCGGAAAATTGGGCGGAAAAATGTTCTTCAATAAATGTTGAGATAAAATTATCGGTGCCCCTTATCTCCTGATAGAGCTCCTTCCTGTATGTGGTGAACGAAAGCGCCTAGCAATAACTATGAGGAGGTCTCAGGTTCAATCCTGTCCGGTGGCTTAACTTTTGTTAAACTCTCTCTAGAATAATTTCTCAACTTTTATGTATTCATTCGTATTACTTTTGTAAGTTACAACAGTTAAAAAAGGCAAAAAATATAAAAATAATAACGTTCAAACTTAATAAAAAGTATTTAAAAATTTTATTTATTTTTCCTTTTCTTTTTCTATTTTTTGTCCCCAAAATTTTTAGTATGGAAAGAAAAATGTTCTTCAATAAATGTTGAGATAAAATAATATCCGTGGTCATAATTTTCACGCAAATTATAATTCCAAACAATATTTGGATTGGAAACAGAAATTAAATTGTTTGGTAATAAATCATGTAAAAATGGATCTTTTGAACCCTAAAAAGAAAAATTGAAGTATAAATAATCTTAAAAAGATTTGTGAATTTTTAAAAAGCTCTTTTAATGCTTTTTCGGTTTTATGGAAAATCATATCTCGGATTAAATTAGATTTAAATTGGACCAAATCTTTACACCAAGTTTAGAACCGTGAGGGAAATCATATATAAAATATGGCTTGGAAATGGATACAGAAACGGACTTGGATAAGTTCAATATGCCTGCAAATATTGTCTCTATCCACCGTAAATATGCCGATACGGATACCAAAATCCATGTCCGAAATATTTTTAAAAAATGTTTCCGACCGAAAATATTTTTTAAAAATGTCAGAATTTGGAAAAAAAATGCCGAAATAAGATGGATAATTCATTGGTCTTCAAACATCAAAAAAATTGGAGAGGAATGAGGGACCTTTGAAAGGTCAAAAAAAACTCTAGAACTATCTTAGAGTCACAAAATCTAGAACTATCTTAATTCCTAGTTTTTTTTAAACATTTTTTGATAATTCTGGTTCGAACCCCACTCATGGAAAACATTTTTTAAATTAACCAAAAAAATTTTATTTCTAAAAAACCCACCTGGTCAAAAAGTATTTCAACTTTCGGTCCTTGATATTTTGACGCTAAAGCCACAGAATCGTACTTTTCCCATTCTAAAATATTTTCGCCTTCTAAAGGACCCAAAAACGCTTCCAAATGTTTATAACCAAAATTTGGAGTTTTTTTCATTGGATTACAAATTGGGGCAAAAACAGAAATTGATTTGAATAATTCTGGATGTTTTAATCCAATAGTTAAGGCTCCTTTAAAGGATTAAAATTTGGAGGGAAAATTTTGGCTCTTGTCCAGTTTAAGCGTCCAATCACACTTTATACGTCCAATAAACCTTTATAAGTCCAATGAAAGGTTTATACGTCCAAACAAATTTTTATGCGTCCAATGGAAAGTTTATGCGTCCAATCACATTTTTAAGTACTCGGGTCTATGTGTGTCAAAACCTATGGTCTGTAATATCCGTGTGTATCAAAACTCTGGGTGAGAGAGCCCTCTATTCCCAGATTTTATGGTACTAAATTGAAGAACCGAGTAATTAAAATGTGATTGGACGCAAAAAATATTATTGGACGCATAAACTTTCCATTGGACGCATAAAAATTTGTTTGGACGCATAAACCTTTTATTGGACTTATAAACCTTCCGTTGGATGTATAAAGGTGCGATTGGACGCATAAACTGGACAAGAGCCAGAATTTTTTCTTAAAAACCATGCCCTCCCATTGAATGTCCAAAAATCCCGCAAGACTGTTTTATAATTAATTCTTTATATTCTTCAAAAATAAGAGGAACAAATTCTTTAACCAAATAAGAATACATTTTGTAATTTTTGGCAAATTTTGGTTCTGTTGCATCCAAATAACTTTAAAAATTAGATGTAATTCGGAAAAAATTATAAGGGCTGGAAATTGAAAAATGAATGAATTTTGGAGGTTTTTCCAGATTCGGGTTTTGTTTAGTTAGAGTTGTTTGACTGAGCAGCGGTAGATCTGAATATGCACCAGGGATACCCAAAATCCGAACTCTTTTTCAACCAGAAACCCAATCCTAGACACTTTTGGAAATCTGACCCTACTTTATCCTCGCACGACCCATACGTGGTGCACCCTTAGGGCCTAGTAAATACAAAAGGAAAACAATTCAACAAAAAAAACCCCTTACAATCCAGCAGCAACACCAAAATTAGGATCCCAATCAATCCCAACCGGAATATCTTCCCCTCTTGGACTTGTATCTGGATTCACAACAATAACCTTAAATTTTGAGGCAAACCGCTGCATTCCACTTTTTATTATAAAATTTTCTTCAGTACACGTTAAACCTTTAAAAAAGCAGGGAAAATTGTCTCAAATTTAATAAAAATACCCGAAAGCCAAAAAAGAATAGGCACACTAACTGGCTCTTTGGAAACACAACAATCCGGTAAATAAATTCCAAATTTCATTTTACAATTTAAAACATCGCTAAAAAATTTAATTAAAAAAAATCCTCCTTCGCTAGACAATCTCATTTTAAGTTACGTTCTTTTACTTTGGCTAGTCATTAGAAGGTAGGGGTTGCCTAAGCGATGCTTTTATATAGGGCAGCAACTCGAGCTTTCGGGGGCAGGAGTGTCGAGTTCCAAGGTTTGCCGGGGTAGTCTTCAGGGTTTTGCCTAAAAATTCATCGGTCGGATCGGGGTGTTATCCTATTTTAATATATACATACCTTATTATAAGTGTGTTCTACATCATTATGGGTGTATCTTATACTAATATCTTAAGATTTTGGTTAGTCAGTGGATGGTGGAAGGCTTAAGCTTAACTCACTATTTAAGATAGACCTTTTAAGGAAGAAAAATTAATTTAAAAAAACCTAAAATGTTCCATAACATTTTGATATCCACCAAAACAACAATCCGGTAATTTACCATTATGGGTGTATCTTATACTTAAACCTTTAAAAAAGCAGGGAAAATTGTCTCAAATTTAATAAAAATACCCGAAAGCCAAAAAAGAATAGGCACACTAACTGGCTCTTTGGAAACACAACAATCCGGTAAATAAATTCCAAATTTCATTTTACAATTTAAAACATCGCTAAAAAATTTAATTAAAAAAAATCCTCCTTCGCTAGACAATCTCATTTTAAGTTACGTTCTTTTACTTTGGCTAGTCATTAGAAGGTAGGGGTTGCCTAAGCGATGCTTTTATATAGGGCAGCAACTCGAGCTTTCGGGGGCAGGAGTGTCGAGTTCCAAGGTTTGCCGGGGTAGTCTTCAGGGTTTTGCCTAAAAATTCATCGGTCGGATCGGGGTGTTATCCTATTTTAATATATACATACCTTATTATAAGTGTGTTCTACATCATTATGGGTGTATCTTATACTAATATCTTAAGATTTTGGTTAGTCAGTGGATGGTGGAAGGCTTAAGCTTAACTCACTATTTAAGATAGACCTTTTAAGGAAGAAAAATTAATTTAAAAAAACCTAAAATGTTCCATAACATTTTGATATCCACCAAAACAACAACTTGAGGATATTTGCTTCAATTTTCCAGCCATGATGAATTAATACAACAAATAATTATTTCTTTTGATTTAAAATTGTCAGTTTGTCTTTAAAGAAATTTAAAACAAATATTAAATGTAAATACAAATAAAAACTAAAAAAATTAAAATTAAAAATTTTTATTACAAAATATATGTAAGCAATAACAGAATAAAATTTATAAAATAAACAAAAAATTTTTTTTTATATTTTGTGTTATCTTTGCCACTCCATTAACTTCCTCCACCATTTACTTTTCATTTTTCCTTTTTACAAATTACATATCAAAAGGACATAAATAAATTATATTCGAATTAAAAGTGAAGCACCGGTTTGTCAGTCCCAAAAAGAGAGAAAAGCAAATGGAGGGGAGGGATAAATAATATCAAGTTTTAGGCACTAATGAAGACTTTCTCCCAATAAATTATTATTAGCGTTCGAAATTTGAAAAATGCCGAATCCCGTCTCGGGATTTCATGTTTTTTTATCCGGACCGGATTTTCCGGACCAAACTGAAAAACCCAATTTTTATCAAAATACCCGGATAGGAACTACCGGATCACGAAAATCCGGTTCGGGATCCGGTCTGGTTCGAACTCTAAAATTAATTTTAAGTCCTAATAGTTAACTAAAACAGAAAAAAATTTTTTCTTTTTCAATTTTCGAATGATCTCATTTTTTCCCTTTTATTTCTTTTCCCTTTAATTAATAATAAATTTTTTCTTTTAACCTTCTCTCTCAATTCCTCAACATTTTCTTCCATTTTTGCCCATTCCAAAACCAATCTTCTTCCATACAAGTGTGTTGAATGCATTAATGTTTCCATTGCTCTTTTAGCATCAGCTGGGGAAATAAATTCAACAAAACAAAAACCTCTTCCTTCACCGCCAGGCTTTAAAAATATATTGAGAAAATTGTTAATCAAAAACCTAAATATAAGATACACCTTTAGAATTAGATACACACTTCAATTTAGGATACATTTTTTCAACATGATTGGTCACTGGGTTGGGAATAGGGGGGTACGGCCCACTTTGTCGCGCGGCCACATTGTCGCAGAGCCATAACTTCCTTCAAGTTTTCCGAATCTTACCAACTTTAGTATTAAACAATTCCTCTCATCGAGCTAAAGAGATTGGTACCAAAATTGATAAGGGCCAGAAATTTTTTAGCAAGTTATGGCTCGGCGACAATGTGGCCGCGCGACAAAGTGGGCGTGTCCCGGGAATAGGGTTGGGGGTCCGGTCCGAAAGATCGAGTCGGGCATCGAATTTTGGCCCGAAAAAGACTCGGTCGGGCCGGCCCGACTCGAAAACCCCAACCCTAGTTGGGGAGCCGTTTTTAACAGCATGAGCCGGTTGAGAAAAAAGGATTGGGTTTCGGATCGTGGTTTCAATTTGTTTCGGATTTCGGGTTGAAAAAGGTTAGATATCTAGTTTTGAATTACCTGATACCCCATCCCTTGTGTTTAAGCGATAAACCTTACTATTTAAAATAGACCTGATTATAAGGTAAAATTTTCTTAACATCAAGGAATATCTTATACCCACTTATTTTGTATTAAAAAAAGAAAAAAACCTTTTTAGGTATCCTAACAAATTTAAGTTCACCAAAAGCAGAGAATAATTGAGAAATTTCTTTTGGATTAGCCTAAAATTAAATTTTAAATAATTTAATTTTTAAAATTCAAAAAAACCTGAAAGGGAACATTACGAACTAGAATTTTCGTCCTTTCTTTTTCCTCTTCCTCTTTCTTTTGGCTAGTTGTTGATGGGGATTCTTCCTCATTTTCTTCATTATTCTCGGAATCAGCAGATATTTTAGTCAAATCATTACTGAAAATTAAAAATTGTAAATTTAAGAGTTTCAAAATTAAATGAAAATGGTCAGTAACTAAAGAGCCATGGAGGAGACTTTATATAAAACAAAATTTTTAAAACTTTGGTCTCCTTTCTCATTTCTGTCCAAAAAAGATCAACAAATTTTTAACCCTTTTTAAAATTGTTAAATTTAAAATTAGTGGTTGAACTTTCTGATCTCCTTTTTTCAACCTTTAAGCTTTTCCTCCCTAGGCTTTTTTTTCATTTTTCTCCCTAGATAATTCAAATGTTATACGTTTTATTTTTGTGAACGTTTTAATTACATTTTTAATAAGTATCAGCCATACGAAAAAATAAAAAATAGGCCAGCATGAAAAAGGAGACCACAAAGTTTAAATTACTAACAAAAGTTCTATAAAGACCCATCCTTGTAAAACCCTCGAATATAGGTAGATAAATTCAAAAATAAAACCTTTCTTGTCTCGATTTGTGATTTTCGTCGAAAACATCAATAGGCGCCCACTCCAAATACAAAGGCCTTCCATCGGTTATTGAAAAACGTTTTGAATAAGACAAAGTTTCAAAAGCTTTTTTAGCATCCAATTCATTTGACATTTCAATTAATGCACTAATTCCATGATCTTTAAAAAATTTTTTAGAAAAATTTTAGAAATTAAAAAAACCTGGGGGCATTACAACATTTTTAATTTTTCCATAACGTGAAAATATTCTGTTCAATTCCTCACTTCCTCCAGGTTTCCCATTTAAATTTTTAACCAAAATAACTGTTTTTGAACGTTTTGCAGCTGAATTTATATTTGAAAATACATCCAATTTAACTCCATGATCTAACAGAAATTTTTTTGTTTCACGAACCAAACGAGTTTCAGCCATTGCTAGACGAACAGCAGCACTAATTGTTAAAAGAAAATTAGAAACAGTTGGACCTCTCATTTTAAGAAACACCCCTGGGAATGAAAATTGGATTCGGACTTTAAAAAGTGAAACATGACAGATGAAAAGGCGAAAGGAACACCCATATATGCGGCTTTTTAGAGGTTTGGTTTTTCGGCGTTTATGACATTACGGCTCCCCCATCGCCTAAGATCACCCCAAACAAGTTATCAACCAAATTCTGAAGAACTTATCTTAAAACGATTAAAGTTAAAATCCCAACCTATTCTCCCCTTTCTCTTCCAACAACAATTCCCTCTTTGTCACTTGATAATCTTCTGCCAATAAATCAGCTACAGCATTTGTTCCCAAAAACAACGAATTCCAAGTCTGTTTTAATTTTTCAGCATTTTCTCCTCTTCTGTTACTTTCTCTTTCTGTCTGGAATTTTGATAAAGTTTTCTCGCCAAGTTGAATTGGTTTTTTGGTATTTTCTTCGCCAGCAATTATATGAAGCACTCTTCCCTTAAAAATTAAATGAATCCATTAAAATCCAAAAATATAAGAAAACTCAATTCAGAAAGGAATATTGTCCTGCTATAATTTTCAAGAAACAGTGATGGACAGGAAAAAAATTTCTAAAGTCGAATCGAAGTAGGTTATCTCTCCCAGTTTTTCTCTTCGTTACAACGAGTGTTTCTAAAAATCCTTCACAAGGAAACATCTTAAGTGTGAATTCAATATATTTTTTGTTACCATTCTATAGAGGGCCAACGACTTCCTAGTGTGAAGTGATCTCGTCTTTTCGGTACACTCAAACCGCCCAAAAACCGAAACTCTGAACGGCCATAACTACTATCAAAATCATTTTGCAATAAAAAGATATCACTAAAAATAGGAAGTCGGTGGCCCTCTATCGAATGATACCAAAAAAATATATCGAATTTACACTTACCGTAAAAAATGTTCTCTTGTCAGTACAGGAAAAAGGCTATCACTGATAACAAAATAGGTAAAAAATATTTCTATGAAGTATCGGGACAAAAACAGAAAAGTTGAAAAAAAAAACCATAAAAATCTGTCCATCCAATTTTTTCCAGGCGTCCAATGCGTGTTCAGGAAACATAAAAGAACATAAAGCATATCCTTTGCATTGCCCTTCTCTAGTTATAATTAAATTAATCTCTGCCAAAGTTCCAAAAGGTTTAAGCAATTCCTTTAATTTTTCTTCAGTACAAGAAAATGGTAAATTTCTCAAAAATAGACCTTAAATTAATTTTATTTTTGAAAAAAAATTTTAAAAATAAACAAACGTCCAGTATCCATAATTCTTTCTTCAATTAATTTATCAACGGAAGATTCTTCTTTTGAATTTTCTTCACCATTGCTTTGCCAAGCACATTGCTTCCTTATTTTACGTAAAGTAAATTCTCTTGTTAATTGTTTTCGTTCCTCAGGGAGCGGTTTGCATAAATCAATCTGAATTAAAAGTAAAAATTTTTTGAAGGCAGGCATTTTTTCGGAACTTTTCTATGACTTTTTCCCCATATGTTTTTAGTAGAGATCGAGATTTTTGCAAAGCATGGACCTGTTCCTAGACTCTGGGGTTTGATTTATTTACCTGGGCCGGATCCTGGGCCTGTAGTCCAGGAAAAACCCAAGCCCAGGAAAACCCCCAGGAAGGTCAAAAAATGCATGGACTCTGGGTAAAGGAAAACCTAGGCCCTGGTCCAGCTCATTCTCTAGTTTTTAGTATTTTTTGTAACGTCATTTACCTTTACAAAAAAAAGTAATTTGAAAGAACCTTTGGGACCTACATGAATTGACCGAAAAATCTGGAGAAATGAATTTTCCATTGTTATAACCAATTGATGTAACAAAATATAAATTAAAAATAAATCGGGGAGGCCCTGAAAAAATTGCCTAAAAGGCAGACATTTTTACACGTGTCACTTATCCCGAATTTAATTTTAAAAAATTTTTAAAGAAAAACCTCAAGCTTTTTTCCTCTCAAAAAAGTTCCATTCAATTTTTCAAAAGCAGTTTGGCAACTTGAAGAATTCTCAAACCCAACAAATGCAAATTTTATAGCTCCACTTTTATCATTTATTTTCAATTTAATGTCGGTAATAGCTCCAAATTTTTCAAATAATTGACGCAATTTTTGTTCATTCCAACCTTTTTTCTTTCCACCGCCAGACAAATTTTTAACAAAAAGTCGACTGCATTCAATATTGCTAGTAGAATTTTCTGTAGAAGAATCAGTCATTTTATGAAAAGAAAATTAAGGCTAAATTTGAAAAAAATTTTTAAATATTATGTAAAAATATTAAAGGGAATGACATCGAATGGCAAACCCATAACTATGAAAAATCACCTAAACAATTAATAATTTAATAAACAATTAATAAATAATCTGACAAGGTAAATACAAAATAAAAATTGAATAGAAAAAAATGGGTCAGCAGGAGATCAAATGACTCAAAAGGTCAAATACAAATTTTGGGCGGATAATGGTGAAAATGTTTGCCTGCTTCCTTTTGCATTATCCGACAGTTGCATGAGAGTATTTCCGTCCTATGTCCCTTAATCCCAACAAATCCTTCCTTACCCGCCCAGAATTTTTATTTGATCTCCTGGGCCATTTGATCTCCTTCTGGGTCTAGACCTTCTGGGTTGATCCCGAAAAAAATATTTAAAAATAATTAAATACTAGGTTTTAGATCAACTATTGAATTTTCCAACAAATTTTCATTTTCCAGAGCAATCTCAAAATATCCATCGTCTTCTCCGTCTACATTTCTTCTATTGTGACCCAATTTTCTAGTCAATTGTTCCAATTGTGATCCGAGCAGATGAACAATATCCAATATTTCCTCGTCTGTTTCATATGATGCTCCATTAAGAATGACACGAATATTGCCATAATTAATGATATTTCTTGAGTTTGGTTTTCGATTTAGATTTGTGTGGGTCTAAAATGTGCAGTTTAAAATTCTTTATCAATTACTACCAAGTTATTCAATTCAGTGTCAACATCTCCGTTAAAGTCAAGAATGTACTCAGGCAATCCAGGATGGCGAAGACGATCCTGCAAATTAAGAACAGGTACAATTTGACAAGAGCGTAGCCAGGGGGAGCTTCTGGGGCTATAGCCCCCCGTAGCCAGGGGGCTTCTGGGGCTATAGCCCCTTCTGAAATTGGGAAAGTGAAAAAATTTTAGGAGGAAAATTTTAGGAACTTGAATGTATCAACAAAATATCGAAGACTTACTAAAACGTTGTTGCCACCAAAGACATCATTCATTGCTTGCACATGAACATTCCAAAAGTCGACAGCAAATTGTGCAGGATAATCAATTGGTAAATCCCAACGAGGAGTTATTATAGAAGATAATGTTCGCCTACAACCACTGCTGCTTGCTTCCGAAACGGTTTGACCAAATATTCCACTAGCAGGTTCAAAATTTGTAGACAAAGAAGTTAAAGCAAATGAGCCAAAACGAGCTAGAATAAAAAAATTATTTAGACAAACAAGAAATATTTACATTCAGCAAGAGATGCGGAAGTGGTTAAACCGAAGCCGATATGCGAGGCACGTTCCATTTCAATTTCTGGTCTAAAAGCGTTAGAACCCAACTGATTTTCAAATTCTGTCATTCCAATGTAGGTGCTACAAAAATACGCAAAATAGTCTTCCAATCCAAGCGGGGATTCATCAATTAGTAAACAAAATGCTCTCCGCACATGTTGAATTGGGATTAAAGTTAAAGCAAGTAGACAACTTGAAAATAATTTAAACGACGATTAACTTTCAAAGCTGACCGAAAACATTCCCGTGCCGATTTCCCTTCAATTCCTCCATTGTTCCATAATTGTACAAGTCCCATTTCTTCCCATTTTTTATACAAAGACTGAGCAAAATCGAAAAGCCTTGAATCATCCTTTTCGCATTCACTATTCTTTTTCTTAAAACTTGTGGGTGTTCCCATTTCCAACTGTCTTTTAGTAACACATCCAATTGCTTTTTTGCGCAATCTTGCTGCTCGTTGTTGAACAGCGTTATCCGTCCCAAATCTAAAACAGAAAAAACAATATTTAAATTAAATTACTTTTCCCTTACCTAACTAACAATTCCGTATCTTCAGATGTCCCTTTGCGTAGCTCTTCGGCTAAATTCCTAGTCTTCACTGTTGGATTTGCTCGTATTCGTTCATTGAAAACCTTACGTCTCTTCTCGACCTTACAAAAAATTCCGGTAAAATTAAACTTCGTACCCCCGTCTTTTTTGCTTCCACGAAGTCTACTAGTCCAGATAAAAGTCTATATCTAAAAAGCAGAGCCGAGTACTTATCGCCGTAGGTAAGGATTGAAACACATGGTTTTTCACACTTTGTGGGAGCACAAAAAAAAGGGGGGATACGAAGCTCAATTTTACCAAAATTTATTGTAAAATTGAAAATAAAAACCTCAAGCCCGACCGGATCTCCAACATGATCATGCTCACCCATAATAATACCTCGAGCATGATCCCCCTCAATAGAAAGCACACTAACTTTTGCTGAACAAGGCCGATCGGAGCAGCGCCAGGATGTAAATATATAGCGATAGGATGTAAATATATAGCGATGTAAATATATAGCGATACGCTGAAATTTTTTAGTGATTAAAAAGCCAAAGTAAATAACTCACAATTATACCACAACGACAATCCTCCTTTTTGGGTAGAACCCACATCTAGTTCAACAACATTTAATCCTTCTTCTTCAACATTTATTTGCTCTATTGGCGCAATTTTCACTTCTTTTTCTTTATCAACATTTTTTTGTCTTTTCAACAATTGACATAATTTGGAATGAATTCTCGATGTCATTTATGTAATTAAATAATAACCAAAACAAAAATGTCCTAAAATTAACAATAAGCCTGCAAAGAACAAAAAGATCGACATTTCCACCGTTTGGTATTTCAACGGCTTTTGGAGATTTGGCATTTTGGCTGTTTGGTATTTCGACGTTTTGGCATTACGGCAACAGACTGCAAAATATTTTTCAAACATCAAATAACTTGAAAAAAATAAAAAAATCTAAAGTATTAATTGCAAAAATCTTCAAACTTTACAAAATAAGGAATTAAAACCCAAAAATTTTTCGACTAATAAATATCAAAAAATATTTATTAATGAATTATATTTAAAAATTTATCAAAAAAATATTCCAAGATCCTTCTTTGAAAGCAAATTCTTGAAAGCAAATTCACCCCTTTTTTGCTTTTTTTGTCATTCTTTTTTGTTCCTTTTCTTCCATCATTTTTGCCATAGGATCAGCTGAATGAATACGAGTTAAATTGTATGCTTCTCTATCAATTTCTGAAGGTTTTTGTGTTGATTGATCATCCAAACCACTATGAAATTTGCGTTTTCTTTCTCCCTTAAATTTAAAAAAATATAAAATTTTTAATTGAAAAATATTTTCTAAAAAATTAAAAAATAATCTTAATTAAATTTTAATTTAAAAAAACCATTTCTGCCACCTCTTTCCCATGTCTTCGTTCATCTAATTGTTTTTTAATTGCCTTTTTCAATTCTTTAGAGAATTTTTTATTTGAACCAGAAGCAAAGGATAAATCTTCTGAAAAGAAAAAAAATTTAGAAAAAAAAATTTTTTAGGTTAAATATTAACAGGAAGTTGTTAATTTGGGTTGAGGGTTTTCGAGACGGGCTGATATTAGAGCCATTTTTCGGGCCTCATTTTTATCGAACCTGAACGAACGAGTCTTTCTAGATCGGTTCATAAAAAAATTCGTTCTACAAAAATGGTTATAAAATTTTTTGTAGATGTTCAAAAGCTGTGAAATTTTGCATATTTATTCATTAAAATGTTTCCTAATAAACCCCAAAATTTGAGAATTTTTGGTTAGGTATTTAGGGAGTTATAATCTCCTAAAAAGTTGTTGTCGAAAACTATGTTACACATCCCCCAAAAAGTGTTTTTTCTAGCTTTCTGTAAAATCATCCGATTTGGATGATCTAAACGGTTTTGTTTTACCAAATTTTACATAGGAGGAAAAAAGGGAAAAATAACGGCATTTTATTTCACACTGAATTTTTATAAACTTTATTTTAAGCAAAACTTATCATTACCATCAGACGTAGAATCCCCATTTTCTTCATCAGAATTACTACTAGAAGAGGAAGAACTGCTCTTTCTACGTCTCTTACGTTTTTCTCCACCATCTTTTCGTTGTTTTGCCTTTTCTTTTTTATTTTTTCGCTTTTTTCGTTTTGTTTCCCGACGTTTTTCATCACGCAATTCTTCAAAATAAAGAAATTTTTACCTTAAAAAATTAAAAATCCAAACTTTTCTTTTTCTCATTTTCCAATTGTTCTTCATAAAGACGTAATTCTTCTTCATCAAGTTCAATATCATCTTCAGCATTTTCATCGTCTTCAGATTCCTCCTCATTGTCAGAATTTGAATTAGCAACACTTAAATTGAAATTTTTAAAAGAAAATTTATGGGAAATTTAGGAAAAGAAACAGTGATTTTTTTTTTAAAAATGAAAGCCCTAAATTTTCTAAAAATAAAACTCGACATCGATTTACAGAGAAAATTTACCAACTAATTGTGAGAACAAAATTTTACTAAAATTGCTTGTTAATCGTGTAAAAGTTGAAAACTTATTATTTATTTTTGGTCCTAACTTTAAACATAAAATGTTATGGGAACTCTAGGGTTGCTTCAATTTTAGATAAATTTTGGTCGGTTCATAAGCCAAAATTTATCCCCATACTTACACTTAAAATTATATAATTATTTTGAAAAAGAAGCTACTCTAAAACAATTTTAATAGCAATACACCAAAGGATGGGTCAAAAAAATTTTTCTTTCTAAAATTTCTTCACTTGACATGTTGAGAAAAAAAATCAGGTCGGGTTTTGGAAAATTCCTCGGGTCAAGTTTCGGGTCGAAAAAAGGACAGATTTAGGGCAAGGCAACCCGACCTACATATCCTTACTATAAACTAATAATAAACTTTTGAAGAAATTTGTCTTATTTTTTTTCAAACATTTAAAAATAATTTAAAAAAAAATTTCATTTTAAACCTTTTAACATCTGGAGAATCTTCCTTTTCATTTTTATTCACTTGACTAGAACTTCCTTCATTTCCTTCAAAAACATTTTTAATTGCATTTTGCATTGCATCAGAAGGCTGTAAAGTTTTTGTTGATTTTTGTTGTTCAATTGAAGGAAATTTAGCTGCCCCAGAAGGCCCCAATTCTGCTTGTTCAACCAAAATTCCTTGCTCACCAAGACAATAAGAATTACGCAAAAATTGATGACAACAACGATAACCCCAACGACCATCACGCCAATAAGAACCCCAAACAGAAGTGTGATTATTTATTAAACTGAAATTGAATAAAAAATTGAAAAAAAATTTTTTTAAATAAAAACATACGCATCCTCCTCATATTTGCTTTTTACTGCAGGGCCTTCATCCCCTTTAATCACTTTTCCTTTACGATTATATTCAACATAATTTTCTGATTGTGCAAGAAGCAGTTCTTTTGATGGGGCGCTAAGATGCTCCTTTAAAATAAAAAATATAAAATCGTAATTGAAAATTTTTTCGTAATCGTAATTTTAAAAAAATTTCGGAATCATAGTTCGTAACTCGAAAAACGCCGTAATCCATAATTACGACGCAACTATGATCAGTAGGCCTAACCAGGCCCGTATAATTTTAAGAATTTTAGGGGGTCAAAAAGCCAAATTTCTTTCATTTTTAACGTCACATGCAAAAATTTTAAATTTTAGAAAAATTTAGTAGCAGTACGCGCAAAAATTCATTTTGTGACCACTACTCTAGCAAATATTTATTTTTTCGATTTCCCACTGTTATTAAAAGAGGTAGATGTCTCAAATAGGATTGGAAATTTCAAACTGAACAGTTATGTTCGGTTAACCGAATAATTCGATGAAAACAGCAAACCTAGTCCCAGAGGAAAAATAAAAAAAATTCAGAAAATTAAACTCAAAAAGTAAGTCTCCAACAAGAGAAAATTAATAAAATATCAAGCAATTTAATTGAAAAATATCAAACTTCTCCTCCATATTTTTCCAACAATTCATTTTGCACACTAGATTTATTTTGTTCTTTTTGTTGCTCAAATTCTCTTTTAAGCGATTCCAATCGTGTAGGTTCAGCAAGTGAATGAATGTCAATTCCTTTACAACGCGCTTGCCATGCAAAAACTTGTGCTTCATTTGCTTCTGCAACTTCGCCTGTATAACGCATAAAATTTTCACCAGCATATTGAGCTGCTTCTTGTTCTTTTCCTGGCATGTCCTAAAAAATTTAATTTTTAAAGTAATTGTTAGTAAATGAAAAAAAATTCAATTGGATCACTATTTACCCCAATTTTCTATTTCTCGCCTTATTTTATAAAATTTTAATTAATTAATTTTAGGTTCATCTTTAATTTAATCTTTAATCTCCTTGTATTTTCATACTACAATATAAAATAAAAAGGGTAAAGTAAGTAGTTGTGATCAAGATTTTAGAAAAGTTTGAACCCGTTCCTGGACCCTGGGTTTGATTTATTTACTTGGGCCGGATCCTGGACCTGTAGTCTAAAAAAGTTCATGAAGGTCTACAATATGCCTGGACTCTGAGTACGGGAAAAACCCAGGCCTTGGTTCAGACACAGCTCAATCACTAGTAAAAATATAATCGACAGACTTATCTTATTTCCTTGATGAAATGTTTAACCTTATATTTTTGACTCCTAATGTGTCAAAAACATCCCTACAAGTAAACTAGTAGCAGCCAAAGTGCAAGCAACTAGATGCGATTTTTAGAAAAACAAAGAAAAGGAACGAAAAAAGGTTCAAATTAATCTAATTTATAAGTAAAATTTAAAAAACCTTAAACGGATTCTCTCTCATAGATCGACTTTTTGGATCATAAAAAGGCCCATTTGTATCCAAATTGTGCAAATACTTCGCAGTATCTTCGCGAATTCTTAAATTTCGAACTGTAATACGCGTCCTCGAATCCATATCAACTGATTGTCCTGGTGCGGAAGCATCTTCCGCGTAGATGTCCTCATCTTGTTCTAAATTTTTTTCTTCCTCAGTTCCTTTTAATTGCTCTGCTCTAATAAGTTTTCGGGTCTCATCCATTTTTTCATATTCTTGGACAACAAATTTATAATCGTCAGCATTATAACCGTTCCATCGGTCTCGTTTAGCATCCCAATCCAAAGAAAGTTTAGGGAGAGTGTGATCGTCTGGGGCGATGTTTGTGTTGGACCATTTGGCACCGACAACACGCGGCTTCTCAAAACAATCTTTTTTACGATGACCCATTCCTCCACAATTTTCACAGGCACCTTCCCGGTATTTGAAAGCAACACGATCAGTTGTTCCCTAAAATAAAGGGTCATAAAAAATTGGTAAAATTGAACTTGACCGACCCCATTTTTTCCTCCCAATTGTTTTCCTATATATTTGCAGAATAGGCAACTTTTTCCTTTATTCCATCCCAATTTCTTCCATCAAAGCGGAAATAAAAATTAATTCCATTTGATTGTTTGTAGGCATAATTAGAAAGGTAATTGAAATCAACGAAAAGATGTCCGACTATTCTGTAGATATGTATAAAGGAAAAACTATAGGAGGGAAAAATGAGGTCTGTCAGGTTTAATATTACCAAGAAATTTTTAATTTGATATAAAAAATTTTTAAATTTAAAATAAAAATAAAATCCGAAATTTTGAAATTTTTCGAGACATAACCGAAATAAATTAAATAAAAAATACAAACTTTAGGATACCACTCCGAAATCAGATTATATTCTTTTTGACGATCAGGTTGAGGACGTTGATGCTAAAAATAAATTTAAAAATAATTTTAAAATTTTTTAAAAATTTAGAAATGGTAAAATCAGTGTCTGATTATAGAGATCGGAGGAACTACGGAAGTAGATGGGATTAATTCGTATTCATCAACTAGCTGAGTTCACGAAAGCTTAACCGGGAATTAATTTTACTAATTTAAAATTACCCACAAAATAAAGGTCATCCCCATTTTAAATCACAAAATAAAGGATAATTATCAAAAAAACCAATACCCATAGATTTACCAAGAAAGCCTAACCCTAGATTCCTGAGACTTCAAAAAATTACAGGTCCATAGGAGATGTCGATAATCTCCATTTTAAATTAAAATAATGATAATTTCGAACTAGAAAAAACTAAATCCCAAATTAAAATTAAATCAAAACCTTTAAAGTAGGACCACTATGTGGTATATACCAAGGTGCTTTTTCAATAAATTCAGGAATGTGTGGATTAATATCACGTCCAGTTTCTGTGTCAACCATTGCAGGGGCTGTGCCAGCTTTTCGTTGTTCTTCCAAATCTTTTTGTTTTCTGTACTCATCCTTAGATTTTCGTTTCCCACTTTCGATTCCATCTTCTGTGCCAAATGGTCCTCCTTGACGGATTAAAGAAGAAACGGGTAAATTTGCCATTTTCTAATCAAAAAACTGAAAAACAAAAAATTTGTTAAATTAAATAGATTAAACAAATTATAAAGAAAAAAATTAATCTATAAGAAAATTACAAAGTAGGCAAATGGGTACATTATTTAATGCAAACAAATTAGGATTATTTAGTTAAAGCTCGAGACTAGGAGTAGGCAAAACCGTGTTGGCAGGGCAACGCATGTGCGAATCTTTCAGACTCTCCCGAGGAACAAGATTTAAAGAACCAATCCCGTAAATTAAGAAAAACATCAGGATCCCCATATAAAATCCCTCAAGATATGACAAATCCTGACGAAATTTAATATATTTTATGAAAAAGCCAAAATGAAAAGGTATTTCAATTTGGTAAATGCATTAAATGTCATTATGGTAACTTAAATAAAAATATCAAATTAACTCAAAAAGTCATTTAGGTAACGACTAATAGCTCTATTCTTAGAAAATCAACCGATAAAAATTCTCAAGAATTTTAGTAATCAGGCAAATAAAATTTATTTGACGCAATCTTCGAAATAGAAATTTCCTTCTCCATTTTTTATTAAAAAAATTAAGAGATTTCAACATGTCATTAGACGAAATACAGAGAAACGTCCCTATTAAACCTCAACAATTATTTTTCCATTCAGAATTATTAAAACCTGAAATTGAATTATTTAAAGACCAATTTGAAAGGAACGAGCGTTTTAAAGAATTTGATGGGTTAATTAAAGCAAATCATAGGGTAAATAAAATAAATTTTTTTCATGAATTAAAAGTTCTCTAAACAGATTTACGAAGCTTTAGAGACTAAAATTGCTGTGGACAAAAAATCAACAAAAAATAAATTTTTAATATTAAATGAACAAATGAAGGCAATAACTGAGCGTATTATTGCTATGAGTTCTCCTCAATTTACAAAAGTAATTTTTTGAAGGAATTAGGGAGGACACATCTCCCTACACTAGAATACGGGTCCCCTATATGGAACCCAATGTCTAAGGAATTAACTAAAGATATAGAAAAGGTGCAAAAGTTCTTTACTAAGTCAGCCCTTTTGAAATGCAGAAGAAAATATCTTAAATACACGGACAGACTAAAATTATTTCAACTCGAAACCCTACAATTCAGAAGGTATTATATAGACGTGATAACAATGTATAAGATACTATTTAACCATACCAGTTTAAACCCCGAAGAGCTATTCACATTAAATACACGTCCAAGTAGAAAGCATGATTTTATCATTCAAGTCTCAAATAAGAATGCCAAAACAATCAATTCTTTCATTAACCGGACAGTAAATATTTGGAATCTAATCCCAAGAAATATATTCATAGGGCATACATTAAATAGTTTTAAAATTAATTTAAAACATAGCCTACCGCAAATTCTGTTAAAATTAAAAATACTACCTTAAATTCAACAAACCAAATTTCAAACCTAATCACTGAAGAATCCCTGAATTAATCCCATAATTTGACTAAAAGTATGGGTATATTGCCCTTAACTTATTTACAATTTCACCTAGCAATTTAATGAGCGTTTTAACCTTTTCTTCACTCATCATGTTTTTTTAATTTACGCCTTTTCCACACCCCCCCCCCCCCCAAATACATATATTTGTCAATCCATTTATTTTTTAGTTAGTTCACATATTTTTCAACAATTTATTTTTTATCAATACATTTATATTTTTTTAAGTTTACATACTTTTTTTTACAATCACATATACAAATATTTTTTTCTCTCTCCCTTTTTAAACAAAAGTTAATTTAAATAAACACATTTTTAAGCAAAAATTTAAAATATCTCCTAAATTAACTTAACTACTTGTGCCTATTTATTTACTTTTAAATGTCTAAAACTCTTTATAATCCAAATTCTACCACCAATTCCAACAAAACTCCAATTAAACGTCCGTTGACATCTCTTTCGCCCGAAATGCCAGCAAAAAGACAACAATTTCTGGATCAAATTGCTAATTTAAATTTAGACCCTATTCAAGAAGACCCCACAATATCAGACTCTGCCAAAACTATTATTTCACAACTCAATAACCTCTTAAAAACTGCTGGGTGTATAATCTCTGATATGGCTCAGAACCAACAAATTTCCCAGCAAAATATTGACAATTCTATTGCTGAAAAAGAAAGGAAACGGTCTGTTGTAATTTCGGGGCTCCCCTCTTCTACTCAAACATTACCATCAGCTAGAGCAAATGAAGATCGACAAAATGTCAATTGTATTCTCGATAAGTTGGGTATCGAGATTTGTCCACAATCTGTATATAGATTAGGCAAGGATCTCCCAACCCGTAAAGGTGCACCACCTCTTTTAAAAGTCGTTTTTCCGTCCTCATATTTTCAGACAACCACTCTTCGAAATTGGTCTAAACAACGCAACAATATTAAACAATCTCCAATATTCCGGAATCTGGGCATTAGAGAATCTATGACATTGGAAGAACGCACCAATCGTAAAAAATTGCAGGCTGAATGTGCACAAAAAAGGTCCGTAGATAAAGGTGATTGGATTATCTATGCAAATACAATCATACTTCGCGAAAATATTCCCAATTTCCGAAAATCTCTCCCATAGGATAATTTAGGGATTCAACACTATTTAAAGGAAAAAAATAAACTTTTATATAAATCAAAAATACAACAAAATTCCCAAATAACTAGTATTTTTAATTCTAACAGAACAAATGCTAATACTTATAATAAGGTTAAACAAACTCATAATAAACTTAAAGGCGTTCTAATTAATAGCAGATCCCTCATTAACAAAATTACTGAATTTAAGAATTTTATATCACTAAATCGATTTGATATAATTTGTGTCACAGAAACTTGGATACAGGATAATATTATGCTTTCTAATGAACTAAATGTTAAAGGAAAATACTCTGTTTTTATTTGTAACCGATCCTCTCTAAAGAAAAAAAAGGGAGGAGGGGTAGCTATTTTAACACTAAATCCAATAAAAGCAGCAGAAGTCTATACCCAAACACAATTTGGTTACGAACTAATCATTATTGACATCATCAGAAAAGGTTACCCAAACACACGCCTTATATTAATATACTTTCCGCCAAACTTAACAAAAAACTCTAACGAAAAATTAATAAAAACACTCACAAAATACTATACACCTAACACTATCATTTGTGGCGATCTAAACAAACCTAAAATCAATTGGAACACACATTCTTGTTCAGTTGCCATGGACGAGTTATTTTTAGATTTTATAACTAACTATGGATTTAATCAGCTTATTAAAGATCCAACGCACATTTCTGGCTCTACTCTTGACTTAATCATAACTAACCAAAATAAATTAGTCGATAATATCCAAATTAAAGATGGGTTTTCAACTTCTGACCATTTCCGCATAGACTTTGAGATCGATATAACAAAAGAACCGACACAAAATAACAATTATCGTGCTTTTAGTAAAGCCAACATTAACCAAATAAAACCAATTTTAGCTTATAACTTTTACCTAATGGAAATAATCCCAAACATATCTAACTCTGTTAGCGCCAAATTCGATAACTTTTTCAAACTTGTTCAATCAATAATTGAAGAAAATATTCCTGTTTCGCACAACAAATCCCAATTAGGCCTCAAATACCCTGTCTATATACAAAAAGCAATTCGAGATAAATATAAACTTTTCAAGCAACTTAAACAAAACCCCACACTAAGAGTCGAATACAATAAAATGTCGAATAAAATTAAATACTTAATCAGAAATTATTTAAATAAATCCATGTCCAGAATTTCCAATAATAAAGATTTGATAAATAAACACATAAAAACATCCATAAAATCTAAGCAAACTATCCCAGTACTTATCAGTAACAATGAATACATAATAGAAGATGCAAAAAAATGTGAAGCTTTTGCAACCTATTTTTCCGAATTATTTAAAAACATACCCAATAACCATCAAAAACTAACATTCACTACAGCTTGTAAAAACACACTAGAGGACATAGATTTTGACATAATAACTATTGCTAACACACTTAAAGCACTTCCTAACAAAAACTCATCCACGCAAGATGATATCCCTTACAAAATCTTTAAAAATCTTCATGACATATTTGCTCCTAGCTTATGTGAAATCTTCCGTATTTCTTTAGATACTGGGGAAATTTCAGAAAAATGGAAACACTCAACAATTATACCTATATTCAAAAATGGAAACAGATCAGACCTTAAAAATTATCGACCTATATCACTAACCTCTACTACTTGTAGAATTTTTGAAAAAATAATCTATTCAGAAGTGATGAAATTCTTAATCGAGAACGATTTACTGTCTAAAAATCAATTCGGTTTCCTACCCAAGCGTTCCACGGTAACACAACTAATACTCACTCTTAACAAATGGTATGAGGGCCTACTCCATAAGAAAAATATAGATGTAATATACATCGATTTACAAAAAGCATTCGATAAGGTTCCCACACAACACCTACTAAACAAACTATATGCGTACGGAATCAGAGGTAAAATACACAGATGGATAAGCAATTTTCTTACAAACCGTACTTTTGCTGTGCGAATAAATAACGAAGAGTCAAGCGTATTTCCAACATTATCAGGAGTTCCCCAGGGATCGATTTTAGCACCTTTATTGTTTACAATATATATAAATGACCTCCCGTCAAAATTAGGAGAAAATATATTTGCATCGCTATATGCCGATGACATTAAAATCACCCATATTTACAACACACAAAATACTAACATGCAGGAAAATATCGATATCCTTTACTCATGGGCGATAGATTCGGGTCTAAATATATCACTTAATAAATCCTTTATATTCAATCTAGGTAATAAAAACCCAAAAATACCATACAATATCCTAGACCATGAGTTACAACATGTCGAAGTAATAAAAGATCTAGGCATACTTATAGACAATAAATTAACCTTCAAAAAACATATAAAAAACATATGCAAACTTGGATTCTTAAGATCCCACCAAATACTACGAAATATTCATACATCCGATCCTAAAATATGGGGTAATCTTTTTAAAACATATATTCTCCCTACACTAGAATACGGGTCCCCTATATGGAACCCAATGTCTAAGGAATTAACTAAAGATATAGAAAAGGTGCAAAAGTTCTTTACTAAGTCAGCCCTTTTGAAATGCAGAAGAAAATATCTTAAATACACGGACAGACTAAAATTATTTCAACTCGAAACCCTACAATTCAGAAGGTATTATATAGACGTGATAACAATGTATAAGATACTATTTAACCATACCAGTTTAAACCCCGAAGAGCTATTCACATTAAATACACGTCCAAGTAGAAAGCATGATTTTATCATTCAAGTCTCAAATAAGAATGCCAAAACAATCAATTCTTTCATTAACCGGACAGTAAATATTTGGAATCTAATCCCAAGAAATATATTCATAGGGCATACATTAAATAGTTTTAAAATTAATTTAAAACATAGCCTACCGCAAATTCTGTTAAAATTAAAAATACTACCTTAAATTCAACAAACCAAATTTCAAACCTAATCACTGAAGAATCCCTGAATTAATCCCATAATTTGACTAAAAGTATGGGTATATTGCCCTTAACTTATTTACAATTTCACCTAGCAATTTAATGAGCGTTTTAACCTTTTCTTCACTCATCATGTTTTTTTAATTTACGCCTTTTCCACACCCCCCCCCCCCCCAAATACATATATTTGTCAATCCATTTATTTTTTAGTTAGTTCACATATTTTTCAACAATTTATTTTTTATCAATACATTTATATTTTTTTAAGTTTACATACTTTTTTTTTACAATCACATATACAAATATTTTTTTCTCTCTCCCTTTTTAAACAAAAGTTAATTTAAATAAACACATTTTTAAGCAAAAATTTAAAATATCTCCTAAATTAACTTAACTACTTGTGCCTATTTATTTACTTTTAAATGTCTAAAACTCTTTATAATCCAAACTCCACATTTATTTGTACACACTCAACCATTTTAGTGGTATATTGTATACCCTTTGGTCTGAATAAAATTTATTTATTTAAAAAAAAAAAATCCCTCAAGATATGACAAATCCTGACGAAATTTAATATATTTTATGAAAAAGCCAAAATGAAAAGGTATTTCAATTTGGTAAATGCATTAAATGTCATTATGGTAACTTAAATAAAAATATCAAATTAACTCAAAAAGTCATTTAGGTAACGACTAATAGCTCTATTCTTAGAAAATCAACCGATAAAAATTCTCAAGAATTTTAGTAATCAGCCAATAAAAATTTATTTGACGCAATCTTCGAATTAAAAATTTCCTTCGCCTTTCTGTTAAAAAATTTAAGATCTCATCATGTCTTTAGATGAAATACAAAGAAACGTCCCTATTAAACCCCAACAATTATTTTTCCATTCAGAATTGTTAAAACCTGAAGTTGAATTATTTAAAGACCAATTTGAGAGAAACGAGCGTTTTAAAGAATTTGATGGGTTAATTAAAGCAAATCATAGGGTAAAAATAAAATTTTTTGATGAATAAATAAGGTTCTCAAAAACAGATTTACGAAGCTTTAGAGACAAAAATTGCTGTGGACAAAAAATTAACAAAAAATAAATTTTTAATATTAAATGAACAAATGAGGTCAATAACTGAACGTATTATTGCTATGAGTTCTCCACAATTTACAAAAGTAATTTTTTGAATTAGGGGGGAAAAAATCACGACACTTGAGATCGAGTTGTGGCTATGTTAAGGCCTGGGTTTTTTTTCCTGTACCCAGGGTCCAGGCATTTTTTAACCTTCCTGGCTTTTTACCGAGCCTGGGATTCTCCTGGACTACAAGCCCAGGATCCGGCCCAGGTCAATAAATCAAACCCAGAGTCCAGGAACAGCCCAGGCTTTTCAAAAATCTCGATCTCTACACTAGTGATGTTCGGGCATTTTTTGTTCGGGTAGTTTTTGGCCTCACGACTCCCTAGGCCGTTTTCCGACCCAACTCCCGTTTCCCGCGTTTTTTTCTTCTCCCTATCACTACTCTGTACGACACACAAAGTTCAAAGTCTATTTGGAACTTATATGGTTTGGGTACTCTTTTTTAGCCACGCCCTTTTTTCTTTTTCCTTCATCAATCAAACCTAATATGGACAGAATGGTCAGCCTTTCTTTCTTCCTCGATTTTACTTAACTTTTCCTGTGGCATTTTCAGTGAGAGACATTAACAAGGAAAAGATTAATTTTCCTTTCCAATTTCACCAAAATAAAATTAACATTTGAATCAATATTCTTATTTTTATCTACTATTTCAATTATTTAAATGGCAATAGGTATCCCGGTTCTACGTTTTGGAACTAATGGTCCGGTATTTTATTGTGTTTTCCAGTTTTTGCGTGTTTAAAATCGTATTTTTTTACAAAATGCAGAGCGGTTTCCCCTTTTTAGAAATTTTTGGACCCCTGTAATTCAGCTCAGAGTTCTCACGGACCGAGTTTAGTGCCATACGTCTCAGCCCAGCTCGATGAGTCATCCGAGTCAGCTCTAAATATTTCTCTCTTTATTTTAAAAAAATTGACCTTAACTCATTTGATTGACGGTTGAGAGGGAAAAAGAGTAAAAGAATAATGATGGAAAAGGAAAAAAGGGCGTGGCTAAAAAAGAGTACCCAAACCATATAAGTTCCGTCTATTTCTAGTCCAAATTTTTTTAAATTAATACAACAGCTCCATATAAAGGTTAGCTTTGATCTGAACCAAATCCTCTATTCTTCCTGGACTTTCAGTTTTTTTGATTTTTTCTTGACTCAGGGCCAAAAGTCTGTTCAGGCATTGCTTGAGTTTCCACATTTCCCATCTTTAGGTTTATTAGGTTCGAAAAGTTGACTGGACTCATTAAACCAGAGCTAATTTAAAAAAATATTTTTTAAAGGAAGAAATTGTTGGATATGATTTCTCCGATATTATCAATTTCTCCAAATATGCAGAACTTAAACAAAAAGAATTGGAAAATAAAAGAATAGAAAATGACAGAGGGCCCATTTTTACAATTATTGAAGAAGAAAAGGAATAAAAAATAAATTTTTAAAAATTTATGTCGCCAAAAACATTTAATAAATTAAAAAAAATTTTTTTAACTAGAGAGGTCTTTCCATAAATCAAAAATTCACAAAAAATTTCATTCCTTGTCGATATCGTCAATTACGAGTTCCAAAAATCGAAGGGCCATTTTTGGATAAGCATTTTTCACTTCTTCCCACACATTGCTACTCAGAAAAATTTTCCTGTTGTTCCGAATGTAATTTATACAAGCCTTAATTGAAGAAAAATTTTATTTGGAAGCTCGTTTTTTTTAGTTTCTTTGGCTTTCGAAAAAAGAGAGAGATCGGAATGTGAGGACCATTTTAAAAAATTTTCTTTAAAACTTGCAACCTTTTCCACAGTTGGAGCTCCGTACAAAGAAATAGTCCCACAATATTGAAGAAAATTCTTTTCAGCTAAAACAAGAATAAATTTTAAAAGTCGGAAATTTTTCTAATTTATTTTTGTTCCTCAATTGCCCCCAAAAACACGCCCCAAAAATTATAAAACCAAAACGTTAGGCTGAAATACAAGCTGAGATAAATAGCAGTTGGGAGAGAACCAGCATCTTCCGCTGATCGGTTATAATTACATCACAACGTCTCATACTTGGAGCTACCTTATATTCCCCAAAAAATCATAAACTTACAAATTTGGGAAGATATAATAATTTCGCATTCATATTTTAATGGTTCAATTTCATACTTGTGTGCAATAACAAAAACTTCATCAACATCTGCTGCAGATGGAGGGCAGCCACTATAGAAAAACTGCAACATTGCACGAACACAGGCTGGAGAAGCATCGGTTATTGTGACTTCCCCCTATATTTTTATAAAAAATTTTAACGGAAAGAAGAATGAACAAAATATGTCAAGGATTCTGTCGACGAAAAAAACAAAATTCCCAATTTCGGAAATTCCCTACCCAAAAAACTTCGGGTAATACCGATTTTCAGGAATCGGGCCTGCAATAGAGTGGGGGCCCGTTTCGAAAGATCAAGTCGGGCATTGAATTTTGGCCCGAAAAACCATGTCGGGCCGGCCCGAAAAAATGTCGGCCCAACTCGAAAACCCCAACCCTAGTCTGCAGGATCTCTGAAATATGTATCGAATTGATCGAGAAAGAATTCATATCTAGGTCAAGTATCTTGCTCTCTCGTAGAGCTTAAACCCCTTGACTGTTTTAAAAGTTATCCACCTAAAAATTCATCCCTTGCGGTGTTTTGCTGCCTCAATTATCAAAATCCCTATCTTAAAATGATTTCAATCAATCAAAATAACGAACCTTTTGAGATTCAACCATGCCAGTTTGTTCAAACATAGTTCGGAATACTTGACTATTTTCTGCTAAAACACAACGGTGTGCCTTTATAACCTCGTCGCCAACCTTAGAAATCAAATAAGTATTTGGTAGTTCTTCAATTTAGATCCTCCACCATTTTTCTGAATCCCTTTGTGCACCCTTTATCTAGTTAAAGCTAAATATTTATCATTCAAAAGAGCTTTTCGAGCTGAGTCGAATGGAACTAAAATAAACGAAATGTGACTTAATTGAACAAAGTTATGGCTAATTGTTTTAATCATTTGGAGAGGAACAAAAAGCTTTCATAGAGAGGAGCTTCTTAATTTTCTTAAGATTTACCGAATCTATCCGATATTGGTATCATTCTACCCACTCGAAGAGCTCTTTCGAATGATATGCGCTAAATTAAAGATCAAGCAAAAAGCTCAAAATGGTCAGGGATTCAGGAAAATGGTGGTCGGTCTAAACCGAAGAATTACCCTATATTTTAACGAGTTCGCAAACCTTAATAACACAATCAGAGAATGTTCCATTTTCTAACATTTTTTGATATTTATTTTTCAGATTTTCAGTAGGATTGTAACAGTCAGCCTCAATATCACAGTTTAAATCCAATAGGCCTACATTAGCTCCATGGTCGATTATTTTGCTCAAAAGAATTTTAGTATATCCCAATATTTCTTGGCTCTCAAGTTCATTTTTTGACCTTAAATAAAATGAAGATTTAAGGAAGAAAATAAGAAACCTGGCAATATCGATCTGTTCGTTACCTTTAATTGCATAAATGTGATATTTTGTATTTACAAGATCATCTAAGCTTTTCGGCCCCATTTGGCGAAGCCAAATCCCAACCTCATTAGAGCTCAATACTTTATATACCACCAACTCCCATTCAACGTTGGGAAGTCCTTGATGGCCATGTCGAGGACCTGAAAATTATTTAAAAATGAAAAACCGGTCAAGCAAGCCTGTGCACTCGTTCTTTTTATCCGTTATGTCTCCTCAGAGCTTCTGTGATGACGGCCACACTCTCACATGAAAAAGACGCAGAAAAACTGATCCGCGGTCAACTGCAACCAGAGAATCGTTCTCTTCTCTTTACTTTGTAGAGAATTTTCTGCGTTTTTTCATGTAAGAGAGTGGCCGTGATCACAGATGCTCTGAAGAGACTTCACGGATAAAAAGAGAAAGAATGCGCAAGTCTGCCGTCAAGATTACTTGTCAAATGCAAAGGGCATCTTTTATATTGTAGCGTGTCACAAATTTTGTCAAAATTGTAAATTTGAAATTGAATACTTAAAGAAATGGTTTTCATCGAAGAAATTGTAGATTTTTAAAATTAAAGTAGCTGTTAAATAAAATAAATTTTAGGACGAAATGGAAAAATTACACCCGTAATGACGGGATTTTTTGTAAACTTTTCTTACATTTTTTAGGAAATTTTGTAGGATGCTAGTTAAATTTTTTAAATTCTTTCAAGCTTTTTGCCGAAAAATAAATCAATTTTTCTAGGGTAAGGGACCTTTCAGAGTAGCCGTTTCAGAGTACGGCTAAAGGAGGACGTTTCAGAGTACATAAATTTTTGGACTTGTGTAAGGATGATTCACCCAGCAGCATTTAAAACGCTTAGGCGGGGGATAAACGATCTAAAAAGGAAAAAGAGAAAGCATTAGTCGATGCCCCGGTAGCTCAGAGGTAGAGCTCCTGCATATAGTGAGCGAAAGCCTAGCAACAACTAGCAGGTGGTCGCAGGTTCGAATCCTGCCCGGTGGCTAAACTTTTGCAAACTCTTTCTCTTGGAAAATCTTTTTCTTGTAAATTTTTTTGTCTTCTTACTTCTTTGATCTAAAAAAGATTTTAAAAGTAGCTGAGTCTTGACTCAAGACTTTCAAAAAAATAAAAATCATTGTCCTCGTCTCACTTATTAAATTTGTAGCCCTAAAGAGGGCCGTTTGGGTTAAGGTTGTTGAGGGAGTTCACCAATTCTTTCCTTCCGAAAGTTCAATTGCACACAATCCAACACAATCCTTCCTAGAGACCGGAAAAATTTGTGTTGCGAGATCCCGCATGCGAGAGCAACTTTTAAAAATGTTTGCGGGAAGCACATACTATTTGTGTGATCTGACGAAAAAGTGAGCAATTGATCGGTATCCTAGTGACGTGTGCGGGAGCAACCGGAAAAATTTGTGTTGCGATTGTGTCTTATCTCTCTTTTGTGTCTTATCTCTCAAGCTCTTGACGACTGATCGAAAAGTACATAAGTATTCAAGCTCAAGAATCCCCATTTAATGAGGATGTTCACTCTCCAGGCTGATAATCCATTGCTGGAATCATCCTACGTGCTAGCAAGCAAGAGCCACTTTTTATTCTCCGTCTTCCCTAAGGTTGGTGGTTCCTGGGAAGTCTTCAGATATTCGTAACCAGAACCGAAATTCTATTTAGTGAAAATAGGCTGGTGACAGAGAGGGCAAATGTATGGGCCATGGAGCCAGATTTATTCCATTTAAACTACTGAATGTTCAAATTCTTATCATAAGTTAGAAGCAGATTGCGGACTTTCTTCTGCTTCGGATATCCAGAATCGCCAATATCCAGAATCTTCCCTTCCCTCTTGACAGTTTTGCAGGCAACCCGGAACTAGAAAAAATCGAGAGGTCACGCAACCGGAACTGCCAGCGTAATTGAGTGGGTGTTGGAGCTTGGCATTGCAAAAGGAAATAATTTTTCTTAGCCTTGCAAAAGGAAATAATTTTTGCAACTTCCTTCTTGCTATTTAAATTTTATAGCTATTACGCGTGTCAATGTAAAATTGCCATTTAGGGAGGGCTAATTCTCCACCTATTTTATTCTCCATTAAAACAAGGGATTCCTTCACTCTTTACCTGCTAAAATTTCTTCTTTAATTTTAAAATACCTTCTCCTCTCTATTCCCTTTTAAAATGTGGGAGGTTAAGAAAGAGTTTAGCAAAAGTTTAGCCATAGGGCAGGATTAGAACCTAAGATCTTCTGACAGTTATTGCTAAGCGCTTTCACCCAGTGTAGGGGGTAAAGTATAGGAGTTTCACACCCAGTATAGGGCCGAGAATTGCTAGGCGCTTTCGCTCACCACATACAGGAGCTCTACCACTGAGCTATTGGGGCATCGACTAATGCTTTCTCTTTTATCCTTTTATATCATTTAATCCCTGCCTAAGCGTTTAAATGCTCTAGCTGAATCATCCTTACAATCACCGTATTTTCTCGATTAATTCCCCTCCCTCGATTAATTCTCCATGCCAAGGAAGGGTGAAAAGATAATTCCCAGGGGAATTAATCGAGAAAATACGGTAGCTAGAAATTTATAATATTTTAAATAAAAATTTTCTTTAGTTTTTTATTCAAATAAATGTTTTTTACACCAACAAAATCATTTGTCTTCGTTTTTGTCGGATTTACTCCTCTTCTTGTCATAGGAATGCACTATCCTCCTGAGGCAGAGTCGCGCATGCTGCAGACATGTGTGAACTCCAGAGTATAGAAATAGGTAATCGCTCGCAATGGGGGAATATATTTAGGGGGAGACGTCTCTCCCTTTACACGATGGATAGGCCGGCCGGCAACTTTGTTGAATGAATGAAGAAGTGATCTGCCTTTGTCTATTCCTTTAGAACTTATATGCACAAGCTTACTTCCCAATAGCTTTTCCAAGGATAAGTTAGTGGCGATGGTTAGCTTAGATAATGGGCGGCTAATACCTAATGGGAATGACCTTTTGTGACGTTCTTTGCACCTCTCTGCGAACTTCCGTTAACTAGAGCGATGATTGCTCTACACGTGTTTTTAGGATGATCCCGGCCTTACAATATTAATTTATTATTAGTATTTTTTTTCTGATCAAGTATAATATATTAATTTATAGCGAAAGAAGACTACATAGACTTGAAGGACGTTTAGTTAAAGTTTTACCCAAAGAGAAAAATTTATTTCTCTATTACAAATTGCAAGTTTTAACACGAAGATTGATCTTGTCATTTATCCAAGATAGTTCAAATGCATACTTGACTTTTTTCGAAGAGTTACATACGCGCCTAAACAGAAATAACAATAGACCATATAGGTAATGTTTTGAATATATATGGAGTGTTTATACGGAGTAATTATTTGAGGGAGGATGTTATGTCCGAGAGGAGCAGCCAGGGTATCACAAGCCTAAGGTACCGCAGAGCTATAACCTCGTTCAGAATCCTGGACGAATCCTGGACGCCCATGTATGATATGACAATTCTGAACGAAGTTACAGCTCTGCGGTATCTTGGAGTGTACGGTATCTTGGAGTGTATCTTGGAGTGTACCCATGTCCGTGTGTTACCGAGAGTTTTCAATGTCGACGAACACAAGAATAACAGTTTATCCAAAGTAGAAAGTTACAATTACAAGTTGGAAATAAATGGTGGAATCAGGGGTGGGCGCAAGAGACAATCTCAAAAAACGCAAGACGCAAAACGCAACGCAAGGCCAAAATTTAACGCAAATAACGCAAGACGCAAAACGCAAGAACGCAAAATAGTGAAAAAAATTTTTAAATTAAGTTTTAGACATTTTTCCGTTAAAAATGGGTGTATTACTATAAGTCAGCATGTCCTAATCAATTTTGTGATACATGTAAGTTGGATGGGTAATGATTTGTAGAGATAGGGGATAAAGGGATTAAGAAGGATATTAGAGATTTAGAGGAATCAAGGGGTTTAACAAAGTAACATGGAAACGGAGATTATCTTGTAATTTTGAGGGGTAAAGGAGATTTAAAAAGACACCATGGGATTACTGATGGAAGTCAGGTGAGTTAAGGAGCTAGCGGAGGATAAAGGGCTATTTGTAGTTATGAAGTGATACCGGGATATCAGAAGATTTGGAGGGATGACGAGAGATCTGAGCACCAGATATTGAACCGATATTTTTCTGAGCCGTTCCATTATGGAAAATTGGATTTAAATAAAATATTTTAGCGCCGCAGGCGATAATTTTGAGAATTTTGGAAAGCCAAAAAACAGATTTCTTCCAATTTTGCCCTCAGATTAGAAGAATAACAGGATTTATTAATCTCTAGATATATACATCATATCCTCTTAGACACTCGATGACCTATTTAATTCTGACAATCCATTAATATCTTCTCGAATTTGATGGATTCCCAGATATCCCTAGAATATCCCCGACTTAACCACTCCTTATCCTTCTTCATTTTCAGCGCCGCAGGCGAAAATTTTGTGAATTTTGGAAGACCATAAAGAGATTTCTTCCTTTTTTAGCGCCGCTGGCGAAAATTTTAAGAATTTTGGAAGGCCAAGAAGCCAGAATTCTCCAATTTTGTCCTCAGATTGGGTATATTTTTTGCGTTAATTTCATCGAAAAAAACGCAAAACGCAAAAAAAGGCCAAAATTTAACGCAAATAACGCAAAACGCAATACGCAAAACGCAATGCGCCCACCCCTGGGTGGAATTGGGTTGGAACAGAAAGCGTTGAAACAGACAGAGATAAGGGACTAGTTGGGCTAGTATACTCCCACTAAAATAACGCTGACACGGGTTTTATAATATAGTAATACCACCAGTGCTGAGGATTGTGCATTTGTTGGCTCCGGGCAATTCAAAACTTTGACTTCAAAGCCTTGAATCGTAGCTCCGGCTTCAGAGTTAGCTCCCGGAGCCATACCCAGTACTGAACACAACTACACAAAGGAGAATTAATCGAAAAATGACATAATTTCTGTATTTTAATTAAATTCTAGATTCCAAATATCAATTTTGCAGTACATCGAGGCTCTTGATAAATATGAAGTGTTTGCAAACAATTTTCATGATATGTTGGAAAATAAAGCTTTTAGTCGTATATATGGTGATTTAAAAAAGCTGTGGTTTTTAAATTTTCTATTTTAAGAGACGTCTAGTTTAACCACAAATCTTAGAAACGACGAGTTACTGTTGAAAAATGAAGGAAATAACACGTATCCTGTCCATTGTCAATGCAACCCGCGTTATGAGAATATAGACAGAATTCGAGTGTTTTGGCTATACGTGCGGCTTATTCATACATTCACAAGTAATAAAATAAATTATTTTAAAGCAACTAGGATTGCTCCTCGTCAGGAGATGAGCATGAGACCAGGGTGGGCATGAGACAATCGGGAAAAGCGCAATGCAAGGCAAAAATCAGCGCAATACGCAAGAATGGGATCACTAAATATCAGCCAGTGCCGTGTAGATTTTGTGATATGTATAAGGGGATAGTGTTGGATAGTGGATATTGTTTTGGAGCGTGGATAGTGCTCTGTAGGGATATCGTTGATATAGGGGATTTGGAGGAATTAAAGGGTTTTAAAGAGATACCGGAGTATATGGAGGATGTCAAGGAGTTGGGGAGATATTTGAAGTTAAGTGGATATCTGTCGAGTTGAAGGGGATACCGGGGATCTGGGCCGGTATCTCCTTCAAGGGGATACCAGGGATCCGCAGATTAGAAGGATTTTTGCGTTAACTTCGTCAATGATACGTAAAACGCAAAGCAAGGCCAAAATTTAATGAAAATAACGCAAGACGCAATGCGATCACCCCTGATATAGATTTGAGGATGAGACATCTGAGGATAAATAAAATTTAATAAATTGACACATGTCTAAGGCATTTGGCCTCGTCTTACTGGGTATTTGATGGTTTGTAGATCCCAGGAAACTTCATTGAGAACTTAAATGGTTACTAATTTTAACAAGTAATAAACTAATTTAGTTAGGGAAACTGATTCTCGGGAAATAACAAATGAAGAATTTTTGGCTATTAGAGACTTTCGTATTCGAGGACCAAATAATACATACAACTTATACAACCTCTTCTATTCTAATTATGTCCAGAATAATAATAACAATCTGAAAGGAAGACTTGAACAATATTATATAAATCGACGATTGCGTAACCAAATAGCTTTTCAATTGAATAATAATACTTTGAGTTATCACCGTCAATTACGGGAAATACATGGAGTCCCACCACAAACTCGAGAGGTGATTTTTAATTATACAGGGTGTGGGAGCATAAAATTTCTTGACATTATGATACCAAAAATATACATAAAATAACGGTCATTCTTCATTTAAATTGATCATAAACAGCTTTACATCCGCCGCACTCAACCTGTACCAGCCGTTGATGAAACCGATGATGAACAAACGGAAGCAGCCGAAATCCTTGCTGCAATTAGTCAACAAGCCGCTGGAAGACGCCGCCCTCGTAACAATGGAGGAGGTGGCAACGGAGGAGGTGAAGGGAATAGCCGTCGCGGTGGTGGACGTCGCCGTCACACTGGAGGCAGAAATGGCAGTAGAGGAGGAAATGGAGATTCGGGAAATTGAGGAGGATCGAAGATTTGCTTGAAAGAATTGAAGAGAAAAGAAGTTTTACAAAATTGTAGTTGAGAAAATTGTCTTTATTGAACACTGTCTTTTTCGTAAATCCTCTATTAGAGTATCATACAGCCGACAAATAAAAATTTTACAGAAAGTTAAAATTCTGAGACCGTTGTCCGGGCATTTCAGAAGGATATTAACGTATCATCGAGTTGGATGGTGGCACAGTCGGTTGTGCTTCGGTCTGGGCTCATTCCGTGATGGTTCAATTCCATCTCACATCCAATGAATTTTTCCACAGCAAGACGTTTGTCTGAGACGTCTGTCCGGGCATTTGCAGAAGGTGGTCTTTTACATGATGGTTCTATTCCCTCTTCCATACAATGAATTTTAAACGATACGCATCCCATGAATTTTGTAAATTATTGTGGTACTAGACTAGAGGATTTAGGGTATATAAATTTTTTATTTATTTTTATTTTTCGGGAAGATAAAAGTAAAAAAGCATTTTTTAAAAAATTGTAAAATATGTAAGTAAAAAAGCACAAATGCAAGGCTAATTTTCAAAAGACCCCAAAAATACTTGAAAATTGAATATTTGCACTCTTATAAATAGAGCTGTGATTTTTATGCAAATGCATATTTTTTTTGCAAACTTGGCATCATGTATAGAGCACAAAAAACACTGTTTTAGCCTGGTTTGAAAACTTTAGAGGGGGTTTCTATTTGCATATAATGCATATTTTTGCATATTTCAGACTTTGCTGCATAATGCATATTTTGCTGCATATTTTGAGGTTTTTGGGGAAAATATTGCGAAAATTGCCTAAAATCCTGCCAAAAAGTGAAAATTTTGTAGAAATTTTGGAAAAATTTTGTAAAATTAAGAATTTTCTTAAAAAATTTTTTTGTTTTTTTTGGACGCGACCCAAAAATGTCACACCCTAAAATGTCACACCGCCAAAACGCCTCATCTCAAAATGTCCAACAGAGTAAAAATACTCAATTTGTTGAACAGAACATATAAACTTGGAGTAATCTTAATAAAATTAGGTGTTTGAATGTATTTACTTAAAAAAATGTAAAATTTCTAGGTATAAATTGTATTTTTCATGCATATTTGCGTGGATATTTTGGGTTTCTTGCATATTTTCGTGCATATTTTGGCAATTTTTTATGCATATTATAGTGCATATTTTGCATTTTTTAATGCATAAAATTCACAGCTCTACTTATAAACATGAAACAACCGGTAATAATAAAATTAAAAATAAATTAAAATTGTTAGATAGAAAAATCGAAAAATAAGTAAAAGAGCACTTTTTCTGTTCATTCCTGTATAGACTTGAATATGCTTTACCCCTATTCACCAACAATTCGTGTCGGGGTAAAACGCGGAACGGACAAAACACGGAACGGACAAAACCGTTCCGTGTTTTTGCCGTTCCGTGTTTTTGTAAGTCCGTATTTTGTTCGTTTCGTGTTTTGGTAAGACCTCGTTTTGTCGTTCCGCGTTCTGTCTGTTCCGTGTTTACCCCTATTCATCACTACACATGTCGCATTTTATTACAAATCCATCTTTAAATATTTTCAATTCTCCCCACAATTGACAGATTTTTCTTTTCTCAACTTCACGTTTACATCTTTAATAATTCCTTTTATTATGTAAATAATAGAAATTGAAGAAGAAGAAAAAAGGGGAGACGTGGCCAAACTAAACAAAATTAATATAAAATGATTTTTCTGTTATCAACATTTTAAATAAAAATTCTTATTCTCTCAATTTAATTAAAAGATAATTTTGGAATTTTCTCACCAATTTTAATTTAGCGACCCATTAAAATATAATAAAAATTCAGCTAAAATTAATTTTTAAAAATTAATCGAACTTCCCTATAAAATACCTTCAGAATTAGAGCAACTACCGTAAATGTTCTAATAGAAGCCGTGGGCGTTCATTTCTCAATAAGTATCATTGAGTGGGCTTCTAATTAAAGTTGTCGGATCCGAATCCGAAAAAAGGTCGGATATCCGGAAATTTTTGGTTCGGATATAGAATTCGGAAATCCGAGGATTTCCAGCTATCCGACAACCTTACTTCTAATATAATTCACAGCATTAAGATTTACCTATTAATGGAGTCAGGCTTCTTTCAGAACATTTACGGTATTTTAAAATATGTTGGGTTACTGGCAGGGGAGCTGTCCAATTACGGTGTAATTAAATATTCACATGATTAAGATTCAACTTCCATTTAAGACTTGCCTCATTATTAGGCTCAGATTTCTATGGGGTTTCCTTTTTTTCTGAACCTCCCAAGGTCCGCGAAGGATGAATCCGATGCTATTTTCAAATTATTTCTGGTGGTTAAAGAGCTTTATATTCCCACTTTCCTACCTATTCTGAGAAATTCCTTACCTATAAATCCGACAAAAGTTTTTTTTAATTTTTAAAATAAAACCTTTTGATACTTAAAGGCGTACCTTTTAGTGGGATCTGACTAATTAGCAGATAAATGAATCTATATTTAAATATATTAATTATTTTATTATTTATCCCATTAAAAGTATTTTGTAAAAATAACGACAAAATTCAAAAGGAAAATAAGAATCTTGTTTCTGTACAAACTCTGACAGGCAAAATTATTGGAAAAGTTGAAAAAATTGAAATTGAATCGGGGCAAATAATGAATGTAGATATTTTCTTTGGGATTCCTTATGCCGAGCCGCCTGTCGGAAATTTACGATTTGAGGTATTTTTTGAGGTATTGAATGAGGGTGGGGATTATATCTGGAAATTTTAAGTTAGGAATCGAACAAGCACATTATCCTCCTACCCAAATAAACTTTAATCTCTTTATAATAGACGCCTTTGTTCTAAAATTTTTAAATAGGTAATTTACCTTTACGAATTATATTGAGGTATTTGCTCAGGCATATAAGAGGAGGTATTGCTTTCCCTACCAGCAGAGGTGGGTTGGAACAGTCAGAGGTGTCGGAAATCGGAAGAGCCGGAAATCGGAACTGGCTCAAAAGTCGGAACTCGGAAATCAAAATTTTTTCGGAAATCGGAAGGAAAAAACGCCGGAAATCGGAAGTTGGAAATCGGAATTCCGAATCACTTCTGCCTGCCAGTGACTAACCAAATTTGACACTTACATGCACTACTTAAACTGAATTGTACATTTGAAAGGGTGTACTATTATCTGATCCGACTATACTTTTAAATAGAATAAGTCGATCATTATTTACTGTATTCACTCGAATTTTTCTTTTATTTTATCTCTCACAATGAGAGGGCTGTTGTTCCAACTTTGATATAAACCCACAGAAGGAGATAATTCAATAGTACTATTTGAAAAAGACGATTCTAGACTAATTTACCTCCTGAAAAAGGCGAGAGTTTTTGAAAAGTTAAACATAACTTGGAGCTTGAGTAGGAGAACTTCCGTACTTTTAACTTTAAAAAAATTCAAAATAGAAAACAGTCCCCCTCATTCAAAACGAAACACAAACAATTTATGCACTTGAACAACCAAAAGTTTGTGTTCAACACCACAGATTGGATAATTGGACATGGGATTGGTATCAATATAGCGAAGATTGTCTTTATTTAAATTTATTTTCTCCTCACAGAATTGAAGTTTTTTTGTTTAATTTTTCGAATTAAAAAAATTTATTTGTTTAGGAAAAAGTTGAAAATCTTTTACCAATACTTGTTTTGGTTTATACAGGCGGATTTGAGACACAATCAATGAGACGTTACAAAGTAAAATATCTGACAATTTCTCATTTTATAATTAATAGATTAGGAGTGCAGATCCTTATTTATCAGGGATATAACTGACGGAAAAATAAATGTCCGATTCTGGGAATAGGGATTCCCAAGCCAAAGAAAACGCCGGAAATTCCGATATTCTGGAATCGAGTCGGCTAGATCACTAGTAGATATACGGTAGACCTCCCTGGTCCAGGCACCTTCAGACTTACGAATATGATTGGAGCGGGGGTGGGGGATTTGGGCTAGGCGGGAGCAGAAATTTGGGTTGGAGAGGTCCATTCACTTTTGTCTATCTTACTCATCCTGCGATATCGAAACCCCCCAAAAAATCCCCAATAACTCCTCTTAATAAACTAAACACCCCAGAAAAGCTTGTTGTAATAATCCTGAAGGTATAATAAATTTAAAAAAATTATCAGGACTTTGAAGACATTGGAAAAAAATATTTATCAAAAGGAATTTTGGTTATTGCCGTACAATTTAGAATTGGATTTTTAGGTAAAAAAATAAAAAAAAGAATTGTTTTAAAAATTTTAAAGGATTTTCTTCTATCGGCAACCCCCACCAACAACTTGCTGGAAATTTTGGTTATTGGGATATTGCAGAAACTTTAAATTGGATTAAATTAAATGTTAAATCATTTGGGGGTGACCCAGAAAGGATTACTTTATTTGGATATTCTGCTGGTTCTACAGCTGTTACGACACTTGGAATATCTCCTCATACAAGAGGTGTTGATATAACCCGACCTCATTTTAAGATACCATTTTGGGGCTGAAAAATTATGTCTTATAATGAGTGGTATATTAAATAGGGGGTATCGATAAGGCAGCTTCTTCCAATCAAGTGGCCAACCAGAATCAAAAACTTATTTTAAATAGAGGTGAATCTTGCATTGGAGGTTAACATATATTGTTAAACCTCTGTATGAGATATATGAGATACGCTCAATATTAAATAAACCTCAATTTTATGTACGTTTTCCTAAAACTGAGACTTGAGTGAGAGAGCGTATAGACGATACTCTCTATTTAAGATACATCTCATTATAAGAGACAATATTTTTATCCCTTAAGGGTATAATGTCTGCTTGTAAGCATATTTTAAAAACTCTCACAGATACCCTCTATTTAAGATAACCTCATTATAAGAGACAACATTTTTATCCCTTAAGGGGCATCCTACTAAGGTCTGCTTGCAAATGTATTTTAAATCTCTCACAGATTTATTTCAACAATCTATCCAAATGAGCGGTTCAATTTTTACTTCGAGAGCAGCAAATGACCGCGTTATTTCTGTGAGCAATCATCTCTTTACTGAATTAGGTTGTACCACAAATACAACAGAGCAATTGAAGGAGTGTTTAAAGACAAAAGATATTGAGGAATTTTTTGATGCGATGGATATAATTGTTGGTAAAAGATAGAAAATTATTTTCTCTTGTATTAAGGGTTACATACTATTCTACCTTATCTATGAACAGTACTACCTCAGTTCTACCTTATCTATGAAACATTTTTAAAAAAACAGGCTGGCCACTTAGTAGAGAGTTGAGTAAGGGATATGCCCTATTAAGGTTACTAGTGTTATCGGTTCCTCGAAAATCTTCGGATATTCGAAACCGAACCGAAGAATCGTCGGTTTTTCGGTTCGATCCAGAACCGACAACCCTAAAGGTCACCTTATAAGATACGTTTTTCAGCCTTAATTGTAGGGTTGTCTTAGCACGACGAACTGAAGAACCGGGGATTTTTTGGTTGAACAAGTGTTTAAAAATAAAAGATTCAGTTCCAGAGATCCGAAGATTTCCCAAGAACCAGCACCCTATACTCAAAGGCTCTGTGTCAAAAATAAATTTCAGGGTTCAACAATTCCCGATGTCAATTATGATATTTTTGGGCCTATTATGGATGACGATTTTTTGCCCAAAGAATTTATTGAATTAATTAATGAAACAAAGCCAAAACCAACAATTTTGGGAATTACAGAAATGGATCCACTTGGATATTGTATGTTTTGTTATCTAAAATTAAAATTAAAATTCATACTAAAAAATCTGCTCTCTTAGACTAAAATAAGGAAGAAATTCGTCTTATTAGATGAAAGAACAATCCTTTGAAGCAGATTTAAGTATAAAGAATTTTCCTTAAAATGGTGCCCTGTAGATATGATTAGGGATCAGACAAAAACGAGATCTCAAACGAAAATCTGTTTTTATGATTGATATTTTTTGAGATGTTGATCTCGAGTGTATGACGACCCTCCCAGTTCGGTCAAATTCTGTTTCTGAAAACTCAATTTTTAAAGGGGATTTGAGAAAAAAATTTTTTAGTTGAAAAATTTTGTTCATTTATAACTGTCTAAATCCTTTTAGTTAAATATTTTTCCTAATTTTTAAATCCTTTTTCTCAATTCCATCCCTAGCGTTGAACGTTTTTCCTTTTTCTAACACCCTGTTAGAGAAAATAAAAGAGTGTATATGACAAAGATGAAAAGTAAAAGAATTTAGTAATAAAGGAAGGGGAAAGGATGAGAGAAAAATGTTAGTGAATACACTTTTCTTCTTTGGAAAACTTCGTTGCTTACATACTGACATTTTTCTTTCATAAATATTTAATAGATGATGAGCTTTTGTCGTTTCTAAAACTTACCTGGCTGGGGCGCTCATACGATCACGAAGGTATGGCGTCTGTGGTGAGACTTCCCCATTGCACTTAAGGGCGAGGTTGACCCGCAGGGCGGCTCCGAACTGGGGTAGGCCCACAGCTAAATTTTTGAGTGTGGGGGACAGCGTTCGCGCTTCCCCCTTAAAATCTACACTTTATTAAGCGTGCCTTCTCCCATCCTAAAAATTTAAACTAAAGGTTGTGGTATCGTTTTTATTCAGTCATGATCGAGGTATCATTTTTAAACAAAAGTAGCGAGGATTCTCGTCAATTTTTTTGAATTGTCGTGAATTCAAAAAAGTAGTAAATGAGAAAACTTCGATTCAAAAAATACGGAATGGAATTAGCTGTAGGTGGATCCCTAGTTTTATAATGCAGAGAATAAAGTAAAAAGTAAATTTATGAAAAGGACTACCCGACACCTAAGGATTTTACTTTTGAGGAACCGTCCATTGAGGATCCGACCTTTGAGAAGGCGACCTTTGAGGAATGACTATTGAGGGCCGACCTTCGAGGATCCTCTAATGTCAAAAAGAAATTCTGAAGAAAAAATACGAAAAAAATTTTTCTATTAAAATATTAAAAGTTCTAAATATTTTTTATTCAATTTCTCAAGTATTAATACTCGGCAACAATTCTCTTCGTCATCTTGGAATTCCAAAAAATGAATTAAACGAATTTGGAATTAATCAATTTAAAACTTATTTGCGACAAAAAATAATAAAAAAAGAAAATTTTGGGGATTTTACTGAAAAAGTAGTTGAACATATTTCTAATTTTTATTTGAATTATGACAAACCAGAAAAATTGGATAATTGGTTTTATCTGGAAAGGATTGTTTATGTTTGTTCTTTTAAATTATTTATTCAAAAAAGCGAGTTTTAAGTGATAATTTAAGTGAAATTCAATCTTCCTTTTAAAGTTTAACCTAGAGTTGGTTGGCATCGAGATCCCGAATAAAACCGGGGTTCAAAAAACCGGGATCCATACCTGAATCCCGATCCCGCCTAACTCTACTTATCCCGCCCAACTTTAACTATGTTTTCGCACCTATGCCTTGTTCACATAGCATTCAAAGGAATGAGAGACAAAATCCTATCTCTTTATTTTCAATGCTATTTTGCCGCTTTTTTGTAAACATGGCATTACGGGACTAGGCCGTTTTGGCGCGGGGCCGTTTTGGCGCGAGCTTATAAGATGCGAGTTTGTTATCAAAAATGATAAAATTTTTCAATAATAACTCTCGTGTTATATCTATGTTCTCCAAAAATTTCAGAATTTTTGAGCAAGAATTTTAGAAATTATTGCCAAAAATGTCGATTTTCTGAAAAATGCCTAATTTTTTCTGGTCTATCGA